CTCTCAAAGTTGTTGTTTGCGTGTTTTTGTTTGTCTGCCTCCATCGTTCTCCCTAATCGTCGTCCTCGTCGTGCTTCTCCGCTCCAGCACCCGACGGCGCGAATTGCTCGTACCAGGGCCATCGTCACCCCCCCGCTGTGCCTCCCCGTGCGCCCTGCAGAGGAGCCACAGGGCCACGTCTTGAGACTGGTCGTGTCCGCCTCGTCCTCGTCCTCGTGCTGCTCTTCACGGTGTGTCTCCTACCGCCTCTGCTCTTCCTCCGCCTCCTCCCTCTCCCCCCCGCAGCAGCTTTGGTGCGAGCTTGCCGCCCGAAGAGGAGAGGCAAACACACACCCCATACTCAAGAGGCTGACCCCTGGGGGGCAGGGAAAGGGTAATTACGCTCAACGTTGGATGCCGAGGAAGCGCAGGCACGGATGACTTGGCGACGGGCCCCGCCTTCGTGCAACATCCGACGCGCGCCGTCGCCAAAGCAGGCGACACATGCGCCCATGCTTCGGGGGCTCAGGATTCCAAAATAAAGAAGGGAGGTCACAAACCTCCCAGCCGAACAGTTTTAGATCCCCCCACAGACCAGGCATGCAATGGCGGCCTTCAGCCTGCACCCCCTGGAACCCTGCATGACAGCTCAAATCAGACCCCCGCAATTCAGAACCCCTTTTTTCATGAAATGTACGTTTCCTGATCCGTGGATCTAGCGCCACATCCTGAACCACTTCCGGTCCCACTCCCCCCACCCCCTTTTCCTGAAGTGAGGCGTTAGGGGAATTTTCGTTCGTAGTTTCAGGCACTGTTGGCGCAGACCGTTTTCTTGGAGTCGGACCCCCCTCCCAGGAATGGTGGGCGAGTCAAAGATCGAGCGTGCTCAGGATTAGGTGTATGCGGGGGGCAGCATTCCTAGACACAATGCCTACTGGTAGAGGTGAGGAGAGGTGGGGTGGGGCAGGGGTGTGTGGACAAGTTGAAGAGCAGGGGCGGCTTGGACAGGTGTTCGGTGTACCCTTTCCTTCCCCCAGTCCCACATCCGGAAGGTTCATGCGACGATGGCGCGCCGGTGACGCCGGCGATGGCGTTCCAGGTTGAACTTCGCGTGATCGGACGATGTGGAAGCACTGACGGACACGGTGTAACGCCACAGGACCTGGCAGAATTCAGCTCTGAACGATCGGGGCCGCGATCGGTTCAAGGCTGAGCGGTCGGCACGGTGTCTCGCAGGCGATTTCTCTTCCCCGACCCGCGAATACCGCCCGAAAAGTTTGGCACCAGGGGCAACCCTGGGATACACCCCCCAAGAGGGCTAACTATTCGGACGCATCCCCATCGAGGATGGTCGCCCCCCGCATCGTATTTCCAAGGGTTGGGCCTAAAATTTCTGTTCCGGTCGAAAACCCCGCGAAACCTGGAACAGGGGTCGACACATCCCATGTTGTCCAGCCGGATCTTGCGTGATCCTGCAGAGCCAGGGCCACACTGACCTGGATTGGGGCGCAAGGCCCGGAGGATCCTGCAGGATTTTCCAGGATCGTGCAAAGCCTGACTGACCCGGGTTTGTGTTGGCCCAGGTCAGTGGATCCCCACGGAACTCAACCTTGGCCGATCGGGGCCGCGATCGGTTCAAGGCTTAGCGATCGGCGGGGTCAAAAACCTTGGCTATTTCTCATGGTCCCTCCAAACTCCGCCTGTAGGAGGACACGCCCGACCTAAACCTTGGCGCGCGCCGACGCCGCGCGAACCTGCCGGAAGCCGTTTCTCGAGGAGGGCACCATGGCAGGCCAGCAGAGACAGGAGACGGGGTGCCTCCCATGCTTCAACTGCTGCGTGACCGTGCCGCAGGACGCCCGTGGAGAGAGCGAGAGAGAGAGGAGACACCAAAAGCGGCAGAGGATTCCTCCTCGTCTATTCCGTCTCAATGTTGGACTATTTAGGCCTCCTAGATGGGGTCGGAGTAGATGGGGTCGGAAGGTCAGATCGCGCCGCATCGTCGATGCATCGCGGATGCGGCTCGATGTGCAGCCCGATCTGTTTCACGTCGACGTCCCCGATGCATCGCCTACGTCGACAATGCATCGGCGGTGCATCACCGATGCATCGGCGATGTATCGCCGATGTCTCGCCGATGCGGCACGATCCTCCGACCCCATCTGTTCCGACCCCACTTATGAAGCCTCTACACTGCAAGTAAGAGGGACCCTTCGCCGGAGTTACTTTTGGTGCGGGCTCATCGGGGACCCCCCGACCGTTGAGCACGATGCGATAGCAGCGGCCTTCGCGCTTGGGTTTTGCCCCCTCGCGCTCCCCAAAAGCCGCGCACCAAAGGTCACTCTTACCCAGGGTCACTCTTTCGTCCAGCCGACCTTGCATCGCCACGAGGGAAACAAGGGTCCTGCGGGAAGCGGATCCTGAGGTCTTTCGCCGTTCTTGGGCTCGCCAGGGCCCCCGGGACTGTTAGAGAACGACTCTGGATGGAGAGCTCGTCTTCGGGGAAATGCATCAGGGTCCAGGACCCGTTTCCCCCAGGACCGGCTGCCCCCATGCGATTCACACAGTTGCAACCGAGACCGACAGTAAGGATGCGTAACCTTCCCAATGGTACCCTTGTACCCTGGCCTCCTCGGTCCAGCCGTAGCCCCCCTCGATGGCTGGCCCCGCTCGAAAAGCTTCGACAGGGGCGTCCGAGGCCCTTGCAGCCTCATCGCGCATCCGTGCCACCAGTTCTGACCGTGCTCTCGGCCCCCGCCACTCTGCGTGGACTGTGTTGATGGAGCGCCACGGCTGCAACCATGTTGACGCACTGGCAGGGGAGGGCGCCCCAGCGCACTGCAGCCTGCAGCCCAACCCCATCCCTGCGGCGTGGTGCGCCTGGAGGTTTTTTTTTTTCCGAAGGGCTTAGGCGACCCGTCCTCCTCCTCCTCCTCCTCCTCCATTCCTCCTCCTCCTCCTCCTCCTCCTCCTCCTCCTCCTCCTCCATTCCTCCTCCTCCCCCTCCTCCACCTCCTCCTCCTCCTCCTCCTCCTCCTCTTCGGGTCGCCTACGGCCCCGGGGGAAACCGTGCATGTGCACCCCGGCATGCGCGTTGCTTGTTTCTGGTCATGGTCGATGGTCGGAGGTCACACGCGCAGTCCTGCATTCCCCTGTGCAGGTCGCATGTGGCGGGCCCCCTCTCCACCAATTCTGTGCACTCGCCTGAGCCAGACACTGCCTCTCGAGGCGATGAGCGCCGCCGCGCGGCGCCGCGACCGCTCAGCGCGCGCATCAAACAAAAGGGGGTTGATAGCTAGGGGAGGTGGATATCATGGCTGGGGCTATGATATCTCCCCGGACCTCATGGCACCATCTTCTTCTTCTTCTTGCAATGCGTTCCGAGTTCTCTCCCTCGTCCGCGCACGTGCGTCGGGCCAAGATTTGCGCCGCCCCCTTCTTGGACGTTCCCCTCTTGTCTTGGCATCGTTCGGGGATCCTCGAGGAGCATCCTGGATCATCCTGCGAAAACACACGCACGAAACCGAAACATGCACGGGGAATGGACGCCCGAACGATAGCAAGTTAGATGGACACCCCCCCATGAGGCTGCCCAGCGGTGTCACGGCACTGGTGTCTTATGCCCGGGCGAGGAACGAGTCATGCGCTGAGATCCTCGTTCGTCCGTGTCCTCCCCCCCTGGCCCTTTCCTTCGGATGCAGATTTTGAGAGAACAGGCTATGACTCTTCCCTGGCCCAAAATCCGGCTTCATCCCGCCCGATCCGGCTTCGTCCAGTTTAGTGCGGCCTGGTTCCGTGTTGTCCGCGGCCTAGCCTGGCAGAGCCGCCGCCCACCCCCAGAGGGGGCTAATTCCTCCCAATCTTTCCGAAGAAGGCCTTCCAGCAGTTGTCTCCTCCTCCTCCTCCTCCTCCTCCTCCTAACCCCTTCCCTCCGCCTCCAAAGTAATAGCAGCTGCGCTGTAACGCAGATCCCTTATATTTATTCGAAGTCGCGGAAAAAAAAAGCATTGCCGGTGTCTTGCTTGTCTTGACGTGACAATTTCAAGGTGGAACAGCCGTTATGTTGTGTTGAGGCTAGCTTCGCCTGTGGGGTTCGTCAGTCCACTACTGAGCCCCAGTTGGCAGCAGTGCGCGAGCGATCCACAATCAAGATACTGTGGCTATGAATTCAGATGCGGTGGTAATAAGTCCAAGACGCAGCTGCAATAAAGTCTATATGCGAAATAATCGTGCCGAAAACACTGCTGTAGCCCTAGACCCCATGTTTCCGCGCCATCTTTCGAGCCAGATTGATCTGTGATGGACCTGGGGCCCGATGCTTGGCGAACACATCGTCCCGAAAAAATGAAGCGCCCAGATCCCAGGGAACAGGTTCATATTGGCGTCGTGCAAGAAATATCGGAGAACTCCCGCATACAAATTTCGTGGATTGGCTTTGGTAGTGTTTTCCACAGCGCCGTGATTCTCTCACGCTGCCTGATCTCGGCATTCGCGCGGGGGGGGGGTCGATCGATGTTGGTGTCCGTTGCTCGGCGCCCTGTCGAGCGGAACATGGGCACTGATATTGATCGAGTTCAGGACAAGCCCCGATCGATGCCGGCGCCTCTGACGCCGCCCCTGAGGGGAGGGGCATCGAGTGCCATCCAAAAATTTGGTGCGGTCCGTAGGCCAGGGAGGGGGGTCGAGTGCCGGTCCAAGAACCCACGCGGACCTCCAACCGTGCATGTTTGTGCCATATGGCTTCTACACAAAGATCTACGGAACACAAGGCAGAACGATTTGTAAAAAACGCCGATCTTGCTTCTGATCTCGATATTAGCCAAACAGGCACCAGTCTCTTTACCAAAAGGCACAAGAGGATTGAAGCAAAGTTTCCAAGGTCGAGCTTTTGCCTATTTTACTTGACTTCCGCGCGCAGGATAAGATCTACGCAGTGGAGCAGTTCGGGAGCTTCCAGAAGGCGCGCGTGGGAAACGCTCCACCACCACAGCCCACATCCATACCCCGCCCGCACTCATTCTGCCCCCCTCGGAGTGATTTCGATCTGGCTACTCTTCCCTGGTTGCCACGTGTTGGGAGCGCTTGGGCTTCAGAGGTAAAGAACACCGACACCAATGCCCACTCCCCTGGTCCATGTCGATCCGAATCGATGTCCATTCTGACCAGCCCGATGCAGTTCGATGTCTGCTATTCCGACGATCCGATGCTCGCGTGGGCGTTGTTGAGCATCTTTGCGCGTCCGATCCGATACGAATCCGACTCCGCGCCGATGCTGCGCGGTCCGACGCATGCTCCGAGCATATCCGATCTCACGATTCGGCGCTGGCTGATCCTGCTTCGTTCTTGCCGTTGGTCATTGGTCCCCCCCCAGGGGGTCCTCGTCGCTGCGGCTCGTAGGCGGCAAGCATATCCGCATGTGCGGCCTCGCATGCTGGGCCCCTGTGCCGCGACCTCGCGGAGACGGGGCGCTTCCCGCGGATGCCCCGCGCAAGCGACCGGGCCCAGGGATCGCGCCCAGGAATCTTTGAGATTTTGGCGTTGCAATTTTTTGTCACAGCTGGTGGTTTCGCTCGATTTCGAGCCCCGTGACTCTCTCAGATCGATCCGGTTCGAAACATGACACAGACAAATGGGGTCTAGGGCTCCGGGCGTGATGTTTTTGTCGATGTTGCCATTTATGCTGCAGCGTCGGTTCTCAGGGATCCATACCGCGAGGTTGTGGGTATGCACACGGTCGCCGCTCGTGCACGGCTGGCGCCGCCCCATAGAAATCTTGGGCGGAGCGCGTGCCCCCCTTGGAGAGGCCCCCCCAAAAGAGCGGTGGTGCCTCTGGGCCTCCCGGATGAGGTCCGAGTATCGGGCCGTGCGAGAGGTCGGCACGAACGAGATGGGTGCGGAGAGAAGGGGTACAATGCCCAACAGCAGTTCCTGTTCATTTTGAACTGGACTCGCTGTCCACGCCGCCGCGGCCTGTGTCCATTCGAGGCAAAGGCCGCCTGCCCAACAGCGGCCGCTGTTGGTTTAGGACAACATGTGTTGTTGGGCATTGTACCAATTTTGTCCGTACCCATGTCGGGCGTCCAAAATAGGGGGGAAGGGAAAGGGGGTGTTACGAAGTCTGCTGCATGCAGCTGGCTTCGGCCCCGCCGCCGGGCCCAGTCCTCGATACATGGACGCCTCCCAGCGCTGGGAGGCGCCAGGGAAATTGGCTACGTCAGCTGATTCTCAACCCCCTCCTTTACTATCCCCCCCTTTCGCCCGGCCCGAGAGTAGATGGGATCGGAGGATCGCGCCGCATCGCCGATGCATCGGCGATGCGGCTCGATGTGGAGCCCGATCTTCTCCACGCCGATGGCCCCGATGCCTCGCCGACGTCGCCGATACATTGCCGATGAATCGACGATGTGTCGCCAAGGCATCGCCGATGCGGCATGATCCTCCGACCCCATCTACCCCGACCCCATCTATGAGGCCTCTGGTGCCCGCGTCTCGCCGCTCCCGAGAGGGCGCACGCGCGGCGGGCGTCGGGGCGGCCGAGCGTCGGTTCTCCCCCGCGCGCGCGTGCGGTGCGCCAAGCGCCCGGCAGGTCAACCGAAGGCCAAGGCTTGCGCGGGGAGTCGCTGCGATGCGAGCGCGTTCTCAGGGCAGCGGGCCCCGAGGATTTTGTTGCCCTGTTTTCGAGCTCCTCGGTGCCCTCCATCGAAGAAGAAAAAACGCTGTAGACATAAACTTTCGGCACTCCGCGCGGATTTCTTGGATCCGCGCTGGGGCCACCAGGCGGCGCCGCCCCAGGCGCGCTCCGCGCGCAAGGGTAGTGGGGTCCGGCGCGGATCCGAGAAATCTGCGCGGAGCGCCAAAAGTTTGTGTTTATTGTATTTGTTCCTCTTCTAGGGACGAAGAAGTGGTCCCAGGGTTTACGCTCCCCTGGGGTCCAGGACCAGTTTCCCTCAGGACCTGAATTGTTTTTTTTCCATGCTAGAAGAAGTGATCGATATTGAAGTCACACCTGGCCCTCGTCCACAACAAGGGGGGGGAAGGGCTCCGCGACCCACTGACGAAACCTGATTACCCTTGCCCAGATCATTGGACACCAGATATTTCGGTCGCGACCGATCGCGACTGATTGCAGAATCGGTCGCCACCGAAAGCGACCGACTGGGTGCGACCGCTTTTGAATTTGAATTCGAAGCAGAATCGGCAGCGACACATCTCGTCGGTCGCGACCAGAGTTTTTTCTGGCATCCAATGATCGGGGCCTGCATGTCAAGTCGACGCCGGGGTATCGGCACTTAGTGGGCCCGGGAAACGGCAGGGCTGTTTTTCACCGTTTCCGAAAAAGTGTCTCTTGAAAATGGAATCGGCAAAAACACGGGACAAGAAACGGCAAAAAACGGCTCCAGGATTGGAATTGGAGCCCGAATTGGTAAAGAAACGGCGACGGAACCAGTAAAACAACGGCGTCGGAACCGGCAACCAAAATCGGCATAACGGAACCGGTAAAAAAACGGCCTTGTCGTTTCCAGGGCCTTTCCCATGGGAGTTCGTTTGGCTGCGGGCTTCCTGCAGGTTCTGAGCCCACGCCGTCGGTGGCTTCAGGAATCCGCTCTGCATGGGGTAGGACGCACATGCAGCTGCCTAGGCAGGGCCCATGTCGATCCGAACGATCTGACTGTGTATATACAAGTGGCACGTGTGTGCCCAGGCTCATACAACAAGCTGAAGGGGCGTTTGAAGCAGGAGTGACATGCAACAGCGAAGTCGCACTCGAGCGCAAGTGGGGTTGCCACACCTTGCGATGTGTGTACCAGGGCCCCCCAGGAAGCCTCAGGAGGCCCGACTTGGATACCAGAAGAGGCTCCAGGAGGCCCCAGGATTGTGAGTGTTGTGTGTGTGATGTGTGCTTTGTGTGGTGCGTGCTTTTTGTGTGTTGTCGGTGTTGTGTGTGTATGTTATGTTTGTCTAGCGTGTGATGTGTTGGGCGTGATTTGTGTCTCTGTGTGTGCATGTACACCCTAGGCGATGCTTAAGAAAACTTAAATTTTCGGCCAGAGTCTCGATGATTCTTAATGTTTCATGGTAAATCCTAAGGTTTCAATCGAAATCCTGGGTCTTTACTCAAATTCTGAGACTATGAATTTCTTAATCCATGATTTCTTAAGCATCTCGCAGGGTGTAGTTCTGAAGCCCCAGGAGGCCCCAGGAGGCCCCAGGCGGCCTCAGCAGGCCCAGGAGAACTCCAGGAGGCTCCGAGGCGGGGTCTGGGGTACCAGAAGGTCCAGAAAGCCCCAGGAGGCCCCAGGAGGTTCCAGGAGGCCCCCAGGAGGCTCCGAGGAGGGGTCTGGGGCTCGATTTTGGGAGGATGTCTCAGGCGAAACCGCCATTCTCTGAGAATCGGGGTCAACATTATTGAAATTACCATGTGTTTTTGAAGGTTTTATGTTAAAATGGTGAAATTCCCATGTGTTTTTGGACCTCTCCTTCACGATCTGCGTGAGGGGTGCCACCGATTTTCAGAATTTCGAGGATGTCCCGAGCGAAACGGCCAGAAAAATCAAACACGGACGCACGCACGGACGCATTAATCCCCTCTGAGCTCTACTCCCTCGGAGAGGTGCGTATGAGAATATATCTATATATATATATATATACACATATGTTCATATGTATACCCTTCTTTAGATGAATATATGTATATGTATATATGTTGATGCATGTATGTATGTAAATCTACCTATACGTGTATATATATATATGTATGTATAAGTCGGGCGTGTCCCTCAACATGAGGAGTATTCAAAAGTACCACATAAATGATATGGGGAAGATTGTTCGACTACTTGTTTATACCATTCTTGTATATGTTCAGACTATTTTTCATTTCTCCTTAAAAATATGCCTGTAGGTGGACATGCCCGACCTAAGATTATATATCTGCTTCAGCCGTTTCCGATCCAATTCGAGTTCGGTTTCCCGACGATCCGGTGCGGCCAGGCGCTGACACGGCGGTTTGTGCATCCTGGCGCAGCCGATCCGATTCGGTTTCGATTCCGTGCCGATGCGCAGCCCGATTCGGTACTGGCTGCTCCTACCTAGCAGGGGCAGAGGGGATTCCCGTGGCGGTGATATCGACAATCACCGCCAGGAGGGGCGATCTCAGGGGATGTCGGCAGGCGATGGACATGGATACATTCGGGACCCCCTGGGGCCGCAGAGTATTCACATCCACCGCCCGCCATGTCCCCGCCTCGAAGGATTACTATCGTCATCGTAGCGAGTGCCTCTCGAGGTGATCGGGGCCGGCCTCAACATCGTCGGATTTGACTTAATGGGTTGCTGCATCTCGTTCCGCTCCATCAGCAAGCGCGTCGAGCAGAACGACGTCTTCGTAGAAACCAAGACCAAGGACAACGTGTTCGTGCTGGTGAAGGTGTCCGTTCAGCAGCAGGTTATCCCAGAGCAGGCCGAATCGGCGATTTACAAGCTTGCCAACGTTAGCGCGCAGATCGATTCTTACGTATCCGATGTGATACGATCGGCCGTGCCGAAGATGACCTTGGATGAGGCGTTCGAAGAGAAGGATAAGATCAGTCAGGGCGTTAATGAAGCCCTCACCAAAAGCATGCACGAGTACGGATTCCAGATCATCAAGGCTTTGGTTACAGAGCTCAAGCCGAGTCAGGACGTGATGAACTCGATGAACGAGATCAACAAGCAAAAGCGCCTCCGTGATGCGGCATTGATGGCGTCCGAGGCCGAGAAGATCAGAGTGGTGAAGAAGGCCACGCAAGCACAACACTGCAGTCGGGGCCGACGTTGAAGTCGAAGCAGGGAAGCTCCGGTGCCCCGTGCCACTTCGTGCGCCCTGCTACCCTCGGAGTTGCCCTGCGTCTTCTCGGATGCATGTTGTCTTCGGTCGCGATGTTCGGTCATTTGGTGAACGTTTTGTTTTTTCCTCCTCAGGGGAACGCTCGTTACCCTGGCCACCCCCCCCCGCTACCCCTGCCCAGGTAACGCTAACAATGCTGTAGTGCACGCAGGCGGTTGATGCGCCGGTGGCGCGGACGCACCCTGGCGGGTGCACGCCGCGTACGCCGTCATCGTTACCTTCCCGCCCGCCTTCCTTCCCAACGGGTAATGACCGTCACGCGGAAAGGAATCTAAACGGTCACTTTAGCGATAAATTGCAATTTGCGCGAATCCGGTCCATGTCCCTTCTGCAGGCAATCTTTTTATATCCAGATCCGTTTTTCGTTTTTGCCCTTCCAGGAAGGGGCATCAGAAGGCCGAGACGCAGTGGATACGGATAAACATCTAACCTCCAGGGGCCAGACTTTTATACTACGCCATGCGCGCCTTTACGACGTCGAAATGTGTCGTTCGCCAGCGGAGCGCAATTGTACAAACGAGCGGCGGTAAGGATGAGCATTTGATGCAATACGCCCACGCACCCCTAGATTAGGGGCATCCTTTTCGTTTGTTCTGCGTCCTCGGTCTAAGGTTATGTTTGATCTTGGCGCGCTCCATGTTCCTTGAATCCTCACACTCCATCCGTGTAACTCTTAGGAAGACACCGCACCGCCGATGCCTTGGGGTTGCTGGGTCGCAGAGGTCATGGGTGGTTTGTTGGTGCTGGCCGTCTGGTCGTTGAGGGTGGACCACCCTGGTGAAAGATTTTGGCTCCTTGGGCAGTGTCGGATGGCTTCAATGCAATGGATTTCGTGCTTGTGATTTTTGTTTGAAGAGCTGCTTGCCCCCCGCATACAAGGGTACCCTTGCATCCTCTGCTACTTGGTCCAGCCTTGGCCCCGCTCGAACAGCTTCGAAACGGCCTTCCAAGGCCCTTGCATCCTTACCGCCGCGCATCCTTGCTATTATACGGGTTGACTGTACGCTCTTTGCTATGAGGCTCTTTTCGTGCAATCTGGGCATGCGCGCGGGCCTGTTGCGGGCCATAATCTGGGGGCATCTTGATCTTATGGCAACTTTGAAGGGAGAGGCTCCCAAGGCCAGTGCTACTTCCCCCGCTTGGGCGGCTCATGGGGTTCCTTTGAGGCTTCTCGAGCCGTCCACCAGCCATGTGGGGGTGATCTTTAGGGCCTCGTGGGCCGTCGTGGGAATTCGGAGGCTAGAAATGGCGAGTTCCCCAGAATCATTCAAAACGATTCGATATTCAAATGGTTTGGGGCCGTGGAGGCCTGCTTGGGGTTCCTCCGGTGACTGCATACCAAGCCACCCCAACCCGACCCGAAGTCGCCGTTGGGCCTGCCAAGTGCCAGTGGGGGGGACGCTGGAACATCGTGAAAACACCATGGAACCGTACACCCCCAAACCCGAAATGTGTGTGGGGGTATGGGTCTTGCGGGCTGGTCTGGGGGGGTCTGGCAAGTAGTGATCCGCGGGCCAGTCCTCCAGAGATGTCTCGGAGCTTCCCCGGGCGGGCGGGGAGCTATCCGGGGCAATGCTGCTGCGTCTGCGGACGTGTCTGTGGCCGATGGGCCCGCCGGCACCCAATCCTTGGCGCCCCACCCATCCGCACCCTCCTAGCGTTTTGATGCCTCCGACTTGATTCAATTCGACGTCGATGGCTTCATATTCTGATTTGAGTCGGTTTGGGATGCAGATTTGGGCTTTGATTCCCTAGTGGAGGCCTACTAGCCTGCCGATTTCCGCCGAGTCGCCTTCTCCCGATTCGGCTGACGATTCCTGCCGATCCGATTCATCTGGATCGCCGATCCGACATCGATTCGATTCTGGGTTCTCCTGCCCGCCAGTCCAGGTGCCTGGGGAACGGGTTCGAGGTTGGAGCTCGCACGCTACTGTGCCTCTCTGTGTGCTACCAGACGTAGCACAGTCAACTTACTCCTAGTTACTCCCGCGGGTGGTCCTGAGGAGCGACCCCCTACCCAGACCCCCACGCTGCCATGTGCGCTGCCCAGTGTAAATTTGTCGCCATTTTCATGCTCTCCAGTGGTGCACAGCGGAACATTCACTGTGGGGACTCATAGTGTCCCAAAATTGTGAAAACATTGATGGTCCCCCCCTTCCCCGCCGCGATCCCGACAGCCATGAATTCGCCACCGAATAATAGTTTTAAATTGTCCCCTCTGGACAAAGATTCCACAGACCGGAACAATACGATTGATATGTGGTCCTGGGCTCCGGGCCCAGCGACCCCTCGGGCCCCCGCCGCCCCCCAGATGGGATGGGGGGGACGGCGACGATGATGACGACGAAGACAACGACGACGACGACGAAGACACCTTCCGCTCCAGCTCCCTGAATTACTGCAACACGCCACACCCGGAGGGAGGGGACGACGGGGAAAACACCGTCGACGACGATGGTTCTTTCCCTTCCTCCGTCCCCCTCCGCATCCCTCCCTCCTCGTTCCTTGGCCATCTCCTACCTCGCTCACTTCTCTCACTTCCTCTTCTCCTCCTCCTCCTCCTCCTCCTCGTCCTCGTCCTCGTCCTCCTCCCTGATGGGAGGGGGGAGGGCTGGACCCCATACCCACAGGGGAAGACCCCACCACGCCACGCCCACAAGGGGGGGGGGGGGGCGTGCCCATCGCGCGGGGGAGGAGGTGCCCGATGGCATCAGCAGGAGGGGTTGGGGCCTGGCCTGGACCCTGGATAGTGTGTACATGTCTGTATGTCTACATATATATATATATATATATATATATGTATATATATATATATGTGTGTGTGTGTTTGATATATTCCATATGTACGTCCACATATATATATATATATATATATATATATATTCATATATATACATATACACATATGCGTATACGTATATATCCATATATTTATACACAGGGGAACCTGGGGACAGGGCTGATGGCTCCCAGGGCGGCCCCTCGACGCGCCTGGGGGCCCCAGGGCCCTGGGAGCGCGCTAGGGTCGCGCCGGGAGGCTGAGTCGCCCCCGGAGGGCGCCAAGAGAGAGCTCCGAGAGCGCTCCCGGAGGTCTCCAAGACAGCCCAAGATCGCTCCAAGACGCCCAAGATGGCCTCAAGATGGCGGTCGCGAGGACGTCCCCGGCGGTCTGGTTTGCCCCGCCTTCCATGCGTTCCCTACCTAGGCTCTGCCTAGAAGTGTTCTTACTCGGTTGGCTTAAGGGGCCGGGCAGTGGAAACCGCCCCGGGCGGTTCCCCCGGTTGCGCTCCCTGGGTCCTGAGCAAAGGCAAAAGCAAAGGCAACAGTGAAGGCAAAAACGAAGGCGAAGCAAAAGCATAGCATAGCATAGCACAGCATAGCATAGCATAGCATGACGCAGCATAGCATAGCGCAGCATAGCATAGCATAGCATATCATAGCATAGCGTAGCCGAGCCTAGCCCAGCATAGCATTGCGCAGCATAGCAGAGCATAGCATAGCACAGCATAGCGCAGCACAGCATCCACTATTGCTGCTGCTATGTGTATATATATATATATATATGTGTGTGTGCGCACGTATGTTCCATGCATGTGTTCCGTCTGTGGGCCATCTTGAGCCCTTTAGTGGGGCAGCTTGAGCCCTTAGGATTCACGAAGGTTTCGCACATAGCACCGGCCGGGAGACATGAAACCCGATGTATTATCGCATGTCGTAAATGTTTTTCTAGGTAGGGTCGTATTGGGATAATTTTCTATATGCGCACTACAGCGTTGGGAAGAGTTATTGTTTACATTGTCGCCCCAGATTGTTCTTTTTGTTTATTGTAATTGCTTTAAGACATGATTCGTTTCGATTCGCGTATCCCCACCAGCCCACCCGCAAACGATACAGTGGAACAGGAGGATCAGAGGACCAGGCGAAGGCGCGGGGGGGGACGAGGGAGCGACGAGGAAGGACCCAGATTCGGGAAAGAGCGCTCTCCTGAATGACGGGGGCGAGAGCGCCCTCGGGAGGAGATGAACGATCCGAAAGTGAGGCCCACGTTGCAGCGGGAGCACCGTTTTGTCTGGTTGACCCAAAAGGGGTCTACCGAAAAAAGAGGGTGCAATAGCCATGGGGAAACAGAGACGTGGGGTTGCACTGGATTTGGGGCGTGCAATACATTTCAGTGAGCAAATTTGTTGCTGGATTTTTACGTGCAATACATCTAGTTGCAGCACAACGCAATACAGTCCTCCAGCGCAATACATGTGCAAAATAACTGCCCCAAATCTATTGCACCACCCCCTTTCAGCTGGACTCCCGATTGGGTCAACCAAATTTTAGAAGGACCGAGAGCATCCAGACTGAAACCGCAGAGAGGAGCCAACATGCACCAAGCTTGTATGCAGAAATCCTACGCGGATGGGGGCGCGCTGCTCTCAGGACGTCTCGGGGGGGGGGGGGAGGAGTATTTATAGTGTGCAGTTGTCAACATCGAGTACAGAATCGATGACACATCTGATTTACACCAAAGTTGATTTGCTTGATCCTTCGAGAGTTACTTAGACTGCTCAATAGGATTACAGAGAGTTCTACGTTTTATTCGTAACTTCGACGGACGAAGCAATTATAGGGGAACTCAATTCTGTAGTCGACCCCCTACTCGAGAACAACAACTCCGGACCAGCTTTTGCAGACCAAGGAGTCAGCAATCCATGTTGTCGCGGGTCTTTCAGTCGGGGGCCCCTTGGCAGTTTGCATGGGCTATCTGGGGGCCCTCTCGGGGCAACTTTCAGAATTTTCCTGCAGGCATTTATTGGGGTCCTTCGGGGCCCTCCTGTCGGAAACTGGAACATATACATTACCAGTGGCGGGCTGTTTTTGGCAACCGAAGGACTTCTTGGGGGTCGAGGACGACGCTGTAGTGGTGTCGTGTATATTTTTTTCCCCGATGTCCCGGGGGAACAACGAAAATTGTATACACCAGGGTCCCGTATACACCAGTATCCGCTCTCCAGTGCAAATTCGCATGCAGGGACGGAAGAAGCGTCGGTGCATAGAGTTCGATTCCTTACCCTGGGCCATGAAGGATGACATCGGTCAAGAAAAGGTGACGGCACCAAGTTGTCGATCCCCACTGGAGCCAGACAAATTGCTTTTCGAGGCGCTCCTGAGGAGTTGTTGAGGGTATTCGGGGTCGTCGTGGTGCCTTTGTGGGCCCCTCTTGGGGCTCTATTGGACGCCATCCTGAGGCCACGGAAGCCCATCGGAAGCGAAATGGCTAGGGGGCTCCGAGGCCACTTGGGGCAATTTCTTGGCAGTGTTGGGCCCTCCCGAAGACAGACTGGAGGCCATGTTGAGCCAACGCACGTGGCGCTGGTCGCCGTGCAGTGATCCAGGATCCGCGAGGCATGGGGATCGCTCCTCCTGGGCGGGAGCGATAGGCGCTTGGAGGCGCGCTTCTTTGCCGCAGGGCCTGGGGCCACCTCTGCGGGGGCTGTGGTCTGACACAGGGGGCAGTGTACTGGCTCGTATCTCTGTGAGCTTTGATCCGGCTGCGAGCGAGGGGGGAGAGTGAGGAGGAGAAGGCCCGCCCAGAAGGCGCCGGGACTTCTCGGAAGCTCCCGCGCCTTCTGAGAAGTGTTCTGCGTCTTCGGGGAAGGTTTCGGCAATTTCTCAGAAGGTTGGCGGATTTCCGAGTCTTTTCAGATGGCCCGCCTCTTCTCACTTCTCTCCCGGGCTCGTCGCCGAGCTTCAGTCGTGGCAGTTGTGAATATGTTTTCGGCCTCGGTGCCGTCTACTGTTCCGGAATCGTTCACACCACGATTTTAGATGAAAAGCCGACCTCGTGGGAGACCTTGCCAAGAAGGTCGATATCCCAAGGACACCTTGCCAAGAAGAAACATGGTGCTGGATGAAAGCAAATCCAGTCGCACCGAGAAGTCAGATCGAGGTCGGATCGGGGAGGGTACCCCAGTGTTTTTCGTTTGTGTGTGTATGTGTGTGTGTGTGTGTGTCTGGGGGGGGGGATGTTCGTGTGCTTCCTGGGGAGGGTGCCCTCGGCTGTCCTGTCTGTTTTGGCCGACGGAGGATCTCATGTTCTTGAGGGATTTCCGTGTGGCCTAGGTCTGAGTTGGGCATGTTCCTCTTCAGGAGGAAGATTCAAACATAGTGGAACAATAGTCAGGGGACGATGTTTTGATTGCGAAGGCCTTACGGCCGATGCCGCCGACCCTGGAGACGACCCTGTCGTCTGGGCGCGCCAGCCCTCGCGGATCGGACGGTGGCTGCGAGGCGCTGTTGGACGTCGGAGGCGTTGAAAGCGCGCTTGCCGCGCTCGGGAAAGTGTCCCTCCTCCGTTCTGTGATGGGGAGGAGGAGGCACAGGCGGACGAGGAGGACAAGGTCGAAGAGGAGGAAATACCGGGTTGTTTTGTAATTTTTTAGTTTGTTTTGCAGCTTCCTGGGAGAGTTTCTGGGGCCTCTCGGGAGCCTCTTGGGGCCTCTGTGGGCTTCCTGGAGGGCCTCTTGGGAGCTTCTCGGGGCTGAGGGCTCGAAATGTCCGTTCGGGTCCCTCGTCTGGGCGCTCTCTTGGAACCGTTTTGGTGGCCTTTTGTGAATCTGGGAGGCGTTTTGGGCCGTGTTGGGGCACTTCTGGGCCGTTTGGAGACCGTCTCGGAGGCCTCTTGGGCCGTGTCGGGGCGATCTAAGGAGCCTCTTGGGCCGTCTTGGCGCGTGGGGAAGCAGAAGAGGCGAACACACAAAACATCCTTGAACAAACGCTTGGGAAATCCATGATTTGTACCTCATGGGGCTCTCGTGGGAACGGTCCTGGAGGCCTCTTGGGGCGTCTCGCAGGTTTCTTGGGCCGTCTGGAGGCCGTCAAGGCGTCTTGGACAGATCATTCGGCGATTCGGCGCCCTCTGGGATCGTTTTGGTGGCCTCTTTGGGCATTCTTGACCCGTCTTGGCACTTTTTTGGGCTCCGGGATTCCCCGGGGGGGCGGCGTAAAAACCCGGGACCCCCCCCCGGGACCCGCCCCGGGGGGCGGCGTAAAAACCCGGGACCCCCCCCGGGACCGACCCCGGGACAACCCCCCCCCCCCGCGGGGAAGGGATCAAAGGGAAGGGGTTTCCCTTCGACTCAATTTCGACGTTGCTCAATTTCGCCGAGGACGGAACAGACGGAGAAGCCCTTTCCACACGCCGACAGGGTCGGCGGATTTTTGTTGTTGTTTTTGTTTGTTTGTTGTTTTTTATTGATTAATTTTCGACTATGTTTTAGTTTTCCTCCAATTTCCGCTCGTCGGAGAGGACATGCCCGTCCTAAGCCTAGGTCCGACCGCCCTTCCTCTGCAGCTCCTCGCTCCCGGCACAGGCCGAAGCCGACTGCGAGGCGGCCCGTTTGCAGGGCGAGGGCATTGCGAAGCAGCGCGAGGCCATTGTGGACGGCCTGAAGAGGTCTCGGGGGCGGACAGAACCCCCACCTTGGCACGTCGATTAAAATTTGAAGAAAAAAAAAACATAAACATTGACTTTTGGCTGTCCGCGTGGATTCCTCGGATCCGCTCTGGGAGCCCCCTGGTGGCGCCTCCGGCGCCGCCCCTGGCGCGCCCGCGCGCCAGGGAGGGGGGCACAGCGCGGATCCCCCCGCGGAACGCCAAACGTTTATGTGTATGCTTGCTTGTTATATATACATTCGATTCGTGACTTGTCTGTTTTCGGCTCTCGAGAGGGCGCCGCGGCCGTCATTTGCCAGGCTTGCGCCCGCCAGGTTTGGGCCCTAGGTCGTTTTCACTAATCCACGTTGTGCTGAAGGGGGTTCTGTCCATTCCCGAAGGTCCGTCACCTCTGGGACCTCGGAGACGCTTTCCTCCGACAAGGTGCATCTTCGGATGCAATTCCTGGGATGTCAAAAATTCTAACTTTGCTGTGGTCCGAAGTCCGGCTTCAGCCGGCCCGACCCCGCTTCATCCGGCTCAATCCCGCTTAATTTGGCTGAATCCCGACTAATCTGGCTTATTCCCGCTTAATCCGCGGCCTAATCGGGTATATCAGCCCGTCCAATGGGGCTCAATTGTCCGTGATCCTCCCGACGAAGACCTCCCAGTGGTGGCCTCCTAAGGTGTCAGAGCTACTGCTCATCACGCAGTACTTCGAGACGATGAAGGACATCGGAGCCAGCGGCAAGTCTAGCACCGTCTTCATCCCGCACCAGCCCAACGTCGGGGACATCTCCTCTCAGATCCGCAACGGGGTCATGCAGGGCTCGCCCGGGCAGATGCGCATGTGAGCCCACATCTCGAGCACCAGTAACGCGCTTTGGGTCGCGCACAAACGGCCCCCCACAAGGCAGCCCAGGCTGGCCTCGACAGGCCTTAAGTCGGGCATGCCTCTCTTCAGGAGGGATTTCCAAGCATAGTCAACAAATAGTCTGGGAATGTTTTTTCCCCCGTTTTTTTTGTTGTTTTTTCTCTTTAAAAAATGGTTGTTTGTTTTGATTGTTGTTTGTCTATTCTTTAGGGTTCGTCCAACATCCGCCTGTATGAGGACATGCCCGACCTAAGGCCCCCAGGGTAGTCCAGGATGGCTTCGAGCGCGGAGCGCCCTGGGGGGTGCAGCCAGAGGCAGTGCGCTGGGGGGCGAGTCGGGCGTCGTCGTATAACGCGGGTGGGGGCGATAGTTGGGGGTGCTGGTCGCGGGTTTCAGGGAGGAACGGGTCAGAGGAGGGAAAGGTACCCATACCTCTACCCTCCGCTCGTTTTCTCCTTTTCGGGCCTCCTGGGCGGCCCTCGTCGCCACCGCTGGATTCGCTTGGAAATTCTGGTCAGAACGCACGCCGGGAGAGGTCTGGGGAGTAGCGGTATGGGTACTTTGTGGTGGGGCCCAAGGGTGCACGGAAGGTGCATTTTGGCCCCCCCGATCCGAGGCCGCCTTGATCTACAGTCGGACCGAGGAGTAAGATCGAGGTCGGATCGGGGAGGGTACCCCAGTGTTCTTCGTGCTTGTGGGTTGTTCTTGTGCATCCTGGGGAGGGTGCCCTTGGATGTGTTGTTTGCTTTTGCCCACAGAGGGTCTCATGTTCTTAAGCGATGTTCTTCTGGCCCAGGTCCGACTGTACCCTGGATGTCTGTTGAGGTCAGCCTGGGCTGCTTCGGTGGGGCGTCTGTGCGCAACGCCTTGCCTCTCATAGCACCCGTCGAATTGTTTTGTCACACAGAACGGGCTTAATGCCCATTCTTAATATTGGCACGTCCGATCATCCGGAAGGGGACCGCAGCAGATGGGGTCAGAGGATCGCGTCGCTTCGCCAGTACATCAGCGATGCGGTGCGAGCGGAATCCTGATTTCAGCAGGCTCCCACCGCGTGAACGCGGCGGCGACGGCCGTGCGGGAGTTCAGGATCGATGCCCACCGGCGACCTGGATTGAGCCGACTTCGGGAGACCTGCGCTTCGCTTGCTAACGTCGGCGAGCGTTTGAGACTCAGCGATCCGAGCAGTGTGAGAGGCCAGAGCCGATGTTGCCACGACGGGCACCAGCCGTGCCTCCGCACCTCCGGGGCAACGTTAGGGGGGAGGGATCGGCTCAGGGGGGAGGGGGAAGCATCGGGGTTGAGTCGGCGATGTACGTCGCCGACAGCACTGCGATATGCCCCCGATGCCGCGTCCGCACGTTCCTGGACGGGGTGGACTTTTCATCGAAGAGGGAAACACATAAACATGTTTTTTTTATCTCCGCGCGGATTTCTCGGATCTGCTCTGGGAGCCCCCTGGTGGCGCCTCCGGCGCCGCCCCTGGCACGCTCCGCGCGCCAGGGAGGGGGGCCCAGCGCGGATCCAGAAAATCCCCGCGGACCTTCGAACATTTGTGTTTATGTGTTGTTTTTTTTCCTCTACATCAGGCACCCATCGGCGATGTATCGCCGATTCCACCCCACCCCCCCCGAGCCTATGCACTCTGAACCTGGCTCGATGTTCCCCCGCTCGCGCCTCGCGCGACGCCTCGCCGCTCTCCCCCCTCGGAGCCGTTTCCCCCTGATCTCTGCGGCGTGCCGGTGGGCGGGGGGAATTGCAAAGGAGCAGGCCTTCTCAGAGGGCGGCGGGGCTCCTCAGAGGCCCTCTGTGGCCCTCTGAGGGGCTGCCCGTGTCTTCTTCGGGGAAGCGCCAGGCCACTTCCAGGCAGACCAGAGGCCCTCGGAGCCTTTTGTCCGAGGAGGCCCGCCCCTTCTCCCTCGCCCCCAGACTTCGGAGGTGGATAGACCTCCTACCCTGACACGTCGATTAAGGAATTGGCCGTTTTCGGTTCGCGGGAGGGCGTCGCGGCCGTCATTTTTGCGGGTCCAGGTCCGTCGGTTTCGGTCCCAGGCCGTTTTCCGTAAGGGGAGGTTTGTTAAAGGGAGGTTTGTTCACCGCCGAAGACTCGCCGCCGACGATCGTTGCCCCTCGATCCCGACGTCGCCGAGGCATCGCCGAGTGACCAGCGACGCGGCGAGACCTCGGGCTCCGTCTGCGCGGGCTCCGCCTCTCTGGGAGGCCTCCAGCACGGAGTAAAGAGAGGGGGCCTCTCGCGCGGGGACAGCAAACGAGCACAGCCATACTTCAGGCAGTGGCGAAGCGTCCTGGTTTGCCGATACGCCCACCCAAGAATTGTCTAACATGTTTTGTTGTTTGCACCAGATATTCCTAGCACATGTCTTGTTGAGACAGTCATGGTTTAACACTTTGCCTTTATCTTCTAATTACAGTGTTGTTGTTCTTCGGGCACTATTTGGTTCTGTAGTAGGCCTATAGGGATGCCAGGACGGTCGGCCCCTGCCCAAACATCCAGGACACACCCTGGGAGATGTCTTGCGCATGCCGCCCCCAGAAATGCTGGAACACCGAGACCAGCTTCGTGCTGGTTGTGGTCGCGTGGCGTCCCAGGACTGCCAGGTCGACCACAGCCGCAACCAAAGCGCTCGCGTCGAGGTCGGCGGGCTCTCCCCCGAGGGGCTCGCCCGAACCATCCACTGAGTTGCGGCTGTGGCTCTGTGCTGTGCCCGGATCTCGGCGAGCTGCGATGACCTCGCCGGGTTGGCCTCGGGTTGGAAGCCTTCGTGGCGTCCTGGCGGCACGCTGGTCTCCACCGCGCGTGCCAGAGTAGGGAGCACACACCATTGCATAGACGTGCACTTTCAGAGGTCCGCGCAGATTTCTTGGAGCGGCGCTGCAGGGCTGGACCTGAGGCCTAGGCGTTGCTTTGGCGATTTCGTGGACCGTAATTGTTTTGCTTTGGTTTTGTAGCAAAGGCGGGTTGAAGACAAAACGAAGGAACACGACGACAACATGAAGACGAGAGTCACTGTTTAGGGCGATCCCTGCGGCGCTGGGCCCACCTCCCTGGCGCGTGCCAGGCGTGGCGCCCGAGGCGTCGCCAGGGGGAAAGCGCCCACCAAAGAAATCCGCGAAGACCTCCAAAAGTTCATTACTTCGCCGATCGGCACGGGCCCTTGCACCCCCTTCCCCCCCCCATGGAGTAGATATTGGCTGCTTTGGGCGCCTGTCTCAAGCAGGTGGAGCCTCCCACCCTGGGATGCACTGCTGCAGACAGTCGCATTGAGCAGATGGCCAGAGCCGGACATCCCCCCTTCCCCCCTCCGCCCAACGTCGAAACGCCGAATGAGAAGACGCTCACAAGAGCCAATGCGCTCGCTCCCCAGACCCCCTCGCGTCGTGACCAGAATCGCGACCGAGGGTTTTTCCCTCCAGTCTCGGTCTCTGGGGGCCCTTTGCCAGGCCTCGGAAATGCCAACAAAAAGGCTCAGGATGACAAGCGGGTCCCGGAGAGGGGGTCGAGACTTCTGGGGGGCGACGTTGTGGAATAATCAAATCATGATGTCGGGGGCTTGGGTCCGTGAGGGGAGTCCAAACGTACCCGTGGGCAAATGTACCCCTGAGGGGGCGCCTCGGGGCCCAGGTCGGGACGCCTAGAGGTCTGGTCTTGGCGCACGTTGTGGCTGGAACCTTGGACCCTGGTGCGTCTCTCTGGAGGTGCGCTCGCCCCGGGGGAACGTTTGGGCACTCCCCACTTCGACCGTGCTTGTGCAGTCGTCTCCTCGCCCCTCCCGAGCTCCGCCGCCGCCTTGACCCGAGGCATGGTGTTGATGCCCTGGTCCTTGCCCTTCACTCATTCTCCCAGGAGGGTAGCAGGTCGTCACCGACCCCTGCGAGACCCGGGAAGGCGTGGCCCCTCGGCTCAGCCTCAGGCGTCCGAAGAGCGCCCGGGCCTTCGACCCGTGCTCCTCCTCCCCCGCGAGCACCGTCGCTGCGCCAAGCGGGTCCCTCTCCCCGCGCCGGTCGGGCCCGGGAGGGCCGCTGCCCACGGAGGGTTCGCCCTGGTCGCTCGCGGTGCTCCCCCGCGCGGCCGATGCCACCCGCGCGCGCCGACGCGCGCATTGTTACATGATACTCCGGCATGCGCGATTCGACGAGGAGATCAAATGCAGAATCGATGTATCCCCCAACAAAAATGTTCGTCGCATCGCCGACGAAATACCTAGCAGTCCACGAACGTTTCACTTTTCCTTTCCAGATGTGACGAACATCAATTTCGTGGTAAGTCATTTCTGTAGTTGATCCCCTACTCGAGCGATGGACTGACGGAGCCGCCCCGTGTACGTCGCAGGCGACTTCGCTGCAGCGGGCTCTCCGGCCCCCGCCCCTCGCCCGACAAACGCACCGTTCGCACCGCGCCCAGCGCGAATAGAACCCAGCCATGCCGAAGTCTTCAGGAGGAAAAGAAACACACAGACACAATTAATCCTCGATTCCCCAGAAAATATAGGAAAATATGGGAAGTGGGGGGGAAGACAAAAACCCCAAAAATATAGGAAAATATGGGGAATCTTTTTATTTGTGTCTATTTATTTGTGTGTCCCAGTTCCCCTTCAAGTCTGGAGGGATAACAACAGTTGGGATGTGCTTTATCGCTTGGCCTAGCGAACACCAGGTAGCCCCCATATTGCGCGGCAGTCCTAGGGGCATCTGACCTTCGAGATGGTCACTCGAAGATCTTACCCCCAATAGCGCGTATCCCTTACATCTCCGACTGGAGCGCAGGGTGGCTGCGCGCAAAGCGTTGGCGCTTGCATCCCGCTTTGATGCTGCGACGCCCCATAGTCTTGAGAAATGCCCCAGAACGAGGCGTTCCATGGCGCATCACAGAACCCGCTCATTGAGCCGTTGGCACGCGCGCAATGCGTGGGCATGAGATGGCTCGTGGGGTCACCGCGCAGTGCTTCGATCCGTCGCGCAGCGCCCGGCGCGCGCACGCGGGCCATCCTTGCCACGATCCATCCATGGTCTTCTTCGGCGGCGAGCGAGGGGGGAAGTGAAGAGGAGGAGGCCTTCTCAGAAGGCTCGGAAGTCCCCCGGCCTTCTGAGAGGTTGCCCAAGCTTCCCCCGAAGACGCAACAAACAAGACCCTCGGAAGGTCGGGGGATTTCTGAGAGCCCTCGTTAATGTTTCTAATGCTTCTAATGCTCTAATGCTTCCAATGTTTTTCCCCACATGCTTCGTGGGGTTCTGGTGTTCTTCCTTGCCGCGCCGCACCCGCGACACTCACGCCTCACCTCTCTCTCTCTCTCCTTCTCACACAGCGCAGCACAGCACAGCATAGCACAGCTCAACGCAGCACAGCACAGCACAGCACAGCACAGCACAGCATAGCACAGCTCAGCGCAGCACAGCACAACACAGCACAACGCAACACAGCGCAGCACAGCACAGCACAGCACAGCTCAGCACAGCTCAGCTCAGCTCGGCACCGCACAGCACATCACAGCACAGCTCAGCACAACATAGCACACAGGGCAGGCGCGCAGGGCACGGCACGGCAGAGCGTGGCAGGGGTGGCATTCTCTCGACACCAGAGAGGGTGCGCAGGGGGTGGTCCCTCAGCGCGGTTTCTATGCGTGCCAAGGTCGGAGAGCGTGGCAGGGGTGGCACTTTCTCGACACCAGAGAGGGTGCACATCCTCGACACCACAGGGGGGTGCGCTGGGGGTGGGGTCGCTATCCGTTTCGGGCGCGCAAAGCGTGGCAGGCGTTGCACATCCTTGCCACCACAGGGGGCGCGCTGGGGGTGGGGTCGCTATCCGTTTCGGGCTCGCAAAGCGTGGCAGGCGTGGCACATCCTCGACACCACAGGCGGCGCGCTGGGGGTGGGGTCGCTATCCGTTTCGGGCCCGCAAAGCGTGGCAGGCGTGGCACATCCTCGACACCACAGGGGGCGCGCTCGGGGTGGGGTCGCTATCCGTTTCGGGCTCGCAAAGCGTGGCAGGCGTGGCACATCCTCGACACCACAGGGGGCGCTCGGGGTGGGGTCGCTATCCGTTTCGGGCTCGCAAAGCGTGGCAGGCGTGGCACATCCTCGACACCACAGGGGGCGCGCTGGGGGTGGGGTCGCTATCCGTTTCGGGCTCGCAAAGCGTGGCAGGCGTGGCACATCCTCGACACCACAGGGGGCGCGCTGGGGTGGGGCTATCCGTTTCGGGCTCGCAAAGCGTGGCTGGCGGTCGGGGTGGGGTCGCTATCCGTTTCGGGCTCGCAAAGCGTGGCAGGCGTGGCACATCCTCGACACCACAGGGGGCGCGCTGGAGGTGGGGTCGCTGCCCGTTTCGGGCTCGCAAAGCGTGGCAGGCGTGGCACATCCTCGACACCGCATGGGGGCGTGCTCGGGGTGGGTCGCTATCCGTTTCGGGCTCGCAAAGCGTGGCAGGCGTGGCACATCCTCGACACCGCAGGGGGCGCGCTGGGGGTGGGGTCGCTATCCGTTCCGGGCTCGCAAACCGTGGCAGGCGTGGCACATCCTCGACACCACAGGCGGCGCGCTGGGGGTGGGGTCGCTATCCGTTTCGGGCCCGCAAAGCGTGGCAGGCGTGGCACATCTTCGACACCGCAGGTGGGCGCGCTCGGGGTGGGGTCGCTATCCGTTTCGGGCTCGCAAAGCGTGGCAGGCGCGGCACATCCTCGACGCCGCAGGGTGGGCGCGCTGGGGGTGGGGTCGCTATCCGTTTCGGGCTTGCAAAGCGTGGCAGGCGTGGCACATCCTCGGCACCACAAGGGGGGCGCGCTGGGGGTGGGGTCGCTATCCGTTCCGGGCTCGCAAAGCGTGGCAGGCGTGGTAATGTCTCGACACCAGAGGTCTGCGCTGGCGAGAGTTCGCGTCCCATGGAGGACTGTGGACACTTTGGTTCAAGCCGGCTCGGCGCGCTCGCGCTTTCACGCAGGCGTGCCCGTAGCGCCTGCGCGTGGCAGTCATGCCGCCCAAATTTGCAATTGACGCGCTGCCGCCCCCGTGTTTGACCATGAAGAACGTAATGATTCAGGTGGTTGGCGGGGTCAGCGTGGACAGCTCTCGCAGATGCGCAAGCGGAGTTGCGCTGTCCGCATTTAATGCGCACCGCCGCCAGCTTCGCAACTTGTGGCCCGATGCGCCCTACGCGAAGTACTCCGACATGGACGACCGCGGCAAGAGGCAGTGCATGGCGGCGTTTCTGCGGGACCCTGCGTCGGGCGGCTTCGCCTCGGAGGCTCTGTCGGATCAGCCGCGGGGAGAAGGAGGGCGACGACTGCGGGTCGCCGGCAAAGGTCCGGCGAGTGCGCGAGGCCGGCAGCGCAGGCGATGATCTAGGGTCTTCTCCTTCCGCAGCGCATGCCACGCCTGCGAAGGCTACGCCGGCGAAGGCCGCGCCGACGAGGGCTCCGCCCATGCTGACTTGCACTCCTCAGCAGTCTCCGGCTGTCTTGCTGGCAACCTCTGTTCGTTCCACTGGCACCCCTCGCATTCAGCTTTCTCCTATGCCCGCGGAGGAGGACGACCGTTGGTCGCAAGGACCTTGGTCACAAAGCCTGCGAGAGTCGGTCGCGGTGACCTGTCTGTGCGCCCAGGCGGATGAGAAAGCCGTCGGATGGTACAAGTCGTTTGCAGAGAAACGAGCGGATGATCCACAGTACCGGCCGTCCAAATGTGGGGTGCCGATGCGAATTTGTGGAAAGCTCTCAACAGGTACTCTAACGGCGCCCAGAACTACGAGATGGATGTGCCAACCTTTCGTCTGTTCGCATTGCAGCCCGACATGCTCGGCGGAGCTAGCGCCGAGTTCTACGGGGAGGTGAGCGACGTAGCCCCCTGGCGATGGACGTTTCGAGCTGCTGCGGAGACTCATGGCGTCGACTCCTTGCGCGACGTGGAAGGCGTCGCGCGCCGCGCGCGGCAGGCTGCCCTGGCAGAGCGACTGGGGGCGGCGAAGTTTCTCTACACAGCTGACCAGGAGGGCCCGCGCCCCGACCCGTTCAGGGCCAAGCGAATCACACAGGTGCTCGCTGCTTGGACGGACATCAGACGCATGAGCCTCGCCCGCGCGGATTCGTTCTCGTTCGCAAAGGAGAGAATATTCGATTTCTTTGCTGGCGTCACAGACGACCTGTCGAACCTCTACCTGACGTCCGTGGGCATGCCCAACTTCGGGAATACGCGCTACCTCAACGCCGTGGCGCAGGCCCTGATCCACTGCAAGCCTTGGAGGCGCCGGGATGGTTAAATCCAAACGAGCCGCCTCCGTCCGTGCTGAAAGCCCCCCAGAAGTTTGATGAGCGCATGGCTAGGGAGACGCGGGAGATCGAGGCCCTCGCTTTGGAACGCAAATGGATCTTGCCGGCGGCGCGAGGTCATTGGAGCGCACGACCGCCAGAGTCTTTCCGACGAAGGCAGCGCTGCCCAGCCGCGTCGACTTCGCGCGGCCCGCGCCGCTCTTGGACGATTTCGGAGCGCCCGCCCAGCTTTGGGCGTCTTGGCAACCGCAGCCCAGACATTTTCCATAGAAGGGCACTCGCATTTTGCACGCAGGCGAGCCATGTTTGCAATGCGAGTTTTCTGCGCGCGCACCTCAGAGATTGTCCGTCGAAGAGACGCGGCGACAGACGCGTGGAAACTGCGTGAGACCAGAAAAAGTAGACCGACCGAGGAAGGAAAGGGAGGCCAGGGTGCGGAGGAACGCAGCGTGAGGCGAGGGAGAAAGGATAACTCTAGAGGCTCCCTGGAGCGGCTGTGCAAGGGGTGCGAGTTGGACCAACTTCCACAGTGGGCCCGGGGCCCCCGACTACTCGAGCTGTGGCAAATCGTTCTGCATCACCTCACTGCTTGTTGTCACCCCATGAAACGGCCCTCGGTGACCACTCCGAACTTTTTCCCGATGAAGGATGGAAGGCGGGGAAGAGCGAGGACGTGCAATCAGTAGTGTGATGGATGACAATTTTGGGAATCATTCGCGACGAGGGTTTAGAACGCAGGATTGCGCATATATGATAATGAAAAGGCAAACGCATAAGATTTCAATTAAGTATGTGGGGTTCCTCCGTTGCGTAATTCTTCTAACGTTTCCCCCCTCGCTCGCCGCCGACCTACGGGCTCGAGCCCTCGGCGGGGTGGAGGACTGCTTTCTTCCTCTGCGCCGCTCTCTCCCTGGCTGGCAGGCCTCGCGCCCTCCCCCGCGCAGCCCATCTCTGCAGCGTTCTCTCCCTGGCTGGCAGGCCTCGCGCCCCCCCCCGTGCGCAGCCTCCGTTGTCAGAGGGGCTGTGCGCGCCCCCGTTCCCGCTCCCGCCTTCGGTGTGTCGCCGCGGACGGGCCACCGCAGCGGGGCCCCGAGTACAGCGTGGGCCCATGCCAAGCAACACCCTGCTTCAGGGGAACGGGTAACGACATAAACATAAAAACTCGGAGGACCGCGCGGGTTTCTCGGATCCGCGCTGGACCCCCCTGGCGCCGGAGGTTTGTCCAGCGCCGATGCGAGAAATCCGCACGGATCTCCGAGTTGTATGTTTAGGTAATCCTTCGTTCCCATATGCTTGTTCCCAGAGCCGGCCCAGAGTTTCGAAACGCTTTCAGAGCGTTTCGGAACTCTCCGGGAGGGCCGCGGCGCACGATGCATTTTCCAGAGCCGCAGGATTTCAGTATCCTCACCCGATGCTATCTGCTTTCGTCCCCATCGAGGAGCACCCAGGACCACCCTGGTAAAAGTACAGTGGAGGCCCATGCCAAGGAACGCCTGGCTTGCCTCCAGGGTGCCCTGGGTCTCTTGGGTTTCGATGTTCTCTTTATGGAAAACGTGACGCTCCCACGCCAACAAAGATCAGTGGACGTCCTGGGGTCTCAGGGCATGGGCTTTCTCTTGTGGAACGGTTTCGTGGGGACGGGTTTCCACTTTACCTCCTGGCAGCCCTTCGGCTCATGAGGACGGCTGCAGGGAGGGGTCCTCACCTGCAAGGACCTACCACAGCGCTGTTTGACTTGGTTTGGAACTCGGTTGTGTGTGTGTGTGTTTCGTGCTGTGGTTCGTTGTCGCTTCGTCTCGTGCGTCGTTTGGATGGTTGCAGGGAGGGTCCTCACGTACAAGGACCGGTGGCAGCGCTGTTTAGCTTGGCTTGGGCCTCTGTTGGGTTTCTCGTTCCGTGGCTCGTGGTCGCTTCGTCTCGTGGGTCGTTTTCGTTTCAAGCGTTTCGTGCTGTTGTCCGTTTCGTTTGGCACCTGTTTCGTTCTGAACGTTGGTTTTCCACATCGGATTTCGTTTGGTTGTTTGTTCGTTCTGATCGCCGGTTCGTTTTAGACATTGTGGGCGGTCGTCGCTAACGTACCTCCACCAACTCCCACGCGTATCATGGCGGCGGCAACTCCATACGCTCGCGTGGTGTTCCTCCCCTCCTGGGCGCCTCGTGGCCCCCCCCCGGACCCGTGCCTCAGGATGCGCACCTCCTGGGAGGTCAGACCTACAGTCAAGCCGCACAGCAAGGATGAGCAACCGTCCCAACGGATACCCTTGAGTCCTTGCCGCTTCGGCCCAACCTTAGCGTTTTTCACTGGCGAACCTGTTTCGAACAACGTAAATTTGGCCCTCCAGGGCTTGTGCATCCTTACCGCGCATCCTCATGATACGGCTTGACTGAGCATCTGCGCTGGTGTCTCCGTGGTCGAAGGCGCGCCGAACCTAGCACAATCCGGCCGAGTCCAGAGAGATCCTGCTCGATGCGACTGCAGCCTCCGCTTGCTCTGGCCTGGTCTGGCCCATTTGCCCCTCGATGTGGCTCAAGAGTGCTCCAACGTTCGCGCGAAGGCTTCCCAGGGTGCTGATCCCTGTGCCTCGTGACGGCGTCACTTGCCATCTGCGCGGCGTCTCTCCCCTTCCTGGGATTCCTCGTCGTCTCCAGCCTCTCTTCCTGGGATTCCTGGGATTCCTGGGATTCCTGGGATTCCTGGGATTCCTGGGATTCCTCGTCGTCTCCCCCTCTCTTTCTCTTTCTCTCTTTCTCTCTCTCTCTCTCTCTCTCTGTCTGTTTATTGCGATGTGCCCGCACAGCATTCGGCCGACTGCGATCAGCACTGCTGCCTTTGTAACATTCCTGCCTCGACCGCAGGTCCGCTGAAGGCAGTTGAACATGTTCTCATCGTCACCGTCGTCGCAGTAGTCCTGGACCCCTCGCGTCGTGAGAAAGTCACGACGGGCGCTCGTTCTGCCATTTTCGGCCTCTGGGGGGCCCTCGCTGGGGCATTTGCAGAAAAACAAATCTGGATAAACAGCCCGTCCCGGGGAATGAATCGAGATATCCCGGGGTCTAGGTTGCGAAAGAATCATCGCGTCGGCAGTTTGGGACCCTCTCCCTCCATCCTGGCTTCTGGCCCTCTCGTGCTCTTGTTGTCGGGCTCCAGACTGTACAGGCCTCCGTTGGCTTCCGCGTCGCCCGTACTCGACGGTTCCAGAGGTTCTTCTGGTTCTCGGGGTTTCTTGGGGCCAAGAGTTTGTTGCAGAATTGGCGCCCAGCTCAGAGGTTTCTGGAGCCGCTGGGATCAAAACCGGACCCCCAGGAGTTGTAGGCAGACCCGCTCGAAGAAGACGGTCTCGTCCGCAGCATGCTCCCCAATCTCCGTTTGGCGACAAGCACAAGGTTGTTCCAATGCGGCTGGACACATTCAGAAACAAGTTGGACCGATTGCCGAATGCAAACGCAAACACATACATATATGTACTTTATTAGTGTGTATCGATTCGCGCATTTGTACATAGTTGAAGATCCATACACATACATCGACCTATATACATATGTATGAATAAATATACATTGGTACATTATACACATATTTAATAGAATCATGCACATACGTACGCACTGCTTACACTCAGAGCTTCTTGCTTGAGCCCCTCCAGGAGTTGTACAGTTGCGCCGAGGAGTTTCCTCGTTGCCGCCTCGTGGACGCTCGAGGGCGCCCCGTGCGCTGGATGGGTCCGCCGATGTCGCTCCTGGTTGCTGTCCGTGCCGTCTCCCTGGCGCTCGTGGGCGCCCCGTGCGCCTGGGTGGGTCCGCCGAGGTCGCGCCACGTTGTCGCCCGTGCCGCCTCGTGGGCGCTCGCGGGCGCCCCGTTTGCTGACAGCACGTAGCCTACACCACATGGCTTGCACTACCTAGCTTGCGCCACGTAGCCTGCAGGCCACATAGCTCGCATGACGCATGCCTCTCCACGCAGCTTACGCCGCGCATGTTTCACTCCAACGCGCTCAACATATTACACGACATAGCTCACACCTCATGAATCCTCCTGAGAAGCGAATCATAGGTTGCCCCCCCTCCGCTCGTTCGTCTGCTATCCGGAAGCATACCCCCACTCAGGAGGGCTGGTACCGATACCTCCCGCCATCCCTGGAAAGCCGTGTTTACACCACCATCCTTCGGGTGATAAGGAGGTCATGTGTGGGGGGGGGAGCAATTGATAACCATCTGCGATGATTGTGCTGGTGACGATGCTGACGATTCCCTCGCAAATTGGTGACGATAGGTAATGATGATGATGACGCTGGCGTCGATGCATGATGACAATTGTGATGGTGACGGTGCACCATGTGGAAACCATCCGGACGACATGTGGACACCCTTGGGACACCATTGGGACACCATGTGGAACCATCAGGACACTATGTGGACATGATTTGGACACCATCAGGAACACCATCGAAACACCATCGTGAGAAGCACCTGAAGACACTGCGGGGGCAAGGACAGGGTACCATCGGGACACCATCGGGACAGCATCGGGACATCATTTGGACACCATCGGGGCACCATCTGGACACCAGCGCACCATGTGGGCACCCATCGGAACACCATCAGGACACGATCGGGACACCATCCGGAACACCATCCCGAACACCATCGGGACAGCATCGGGACACTATCCCTCCACCATCGGGATACCATCCGAACACGATCGGAACACCATGGGGACATCATGTGGACGCCATTGGGACACCACCTAAACACAATCAAGACACCATCCGGACACCATGTGGACACCATCGGGACACCATGTGGACACCCATCGAGACAACATCGGGACACCAGTGGACACCATCGGGACACCATGTGGACACCATTGGGACACGATCGGAACATCATCGGGACACCATGGGGACATCATCGTGACACCATCGGGACACCATTGGGACACCATCAGAACACTCTTAAAGCACCGCCAGCCAGTTGGCGGGATACCCCCGAGCCACCGAAGGCCAACCAGGGAGGGGCAGCATCATTTGGCCGGGTGTTGTTCATCCCGATCGCCCGCCAACGCAGTTTCGCCACGCACGACACGAAATCGAGACCCATGTCTTGGTGGGAAATCTCCGTTTCACTTCGACCTTATCCCCGAGCCTCCAACAATCGGAACACCATGTGGACACCATCGCGGCACCATGTGGACACCATCGGGACACCATGAGGACACCATTGGGACACCAACGTGCCGCCAGCGGGACATCATCGAAACAACATCGGGGGGGAGCTCCTGAAGACACTGCTACCATCGGGGCACCATTGTGACGTCATCGGGGCACTACCATCGGGACACCATGTGAACACCATCGGGGCACCGTCGGAACACCATCGATGCACCGTCAGGACAACATCGGAACACCATCGGAACACAATCGGGGCACCATCGGGACACCGTTTGGGCACCATCGGGAGACAATCGGAACACCATCAGGACACCATGGGGACGCCATCGCTACACCATGTGGACACCATCGGATTTTCACCCGGGCACCCATCGGGACACCACGAGAACACCATCGGGACACCATGTGGACACGATGTGGGCACCCATCTGGACACCATTGGGCAGCATTTGGGCACCCATCACGACACCGTGTGGATACAATATGCTCACCATCGGGACAGCATCGGCGCACCATCGGGAACACCATCGGGACACCATCGGGACACCATCGGAACACCATCGAGACACCATCGGAACACCAGTGGGACACCAGCGAGGCACCATCGGAACACCATCGGAACACCATGTGCACCTTCATCGGGGCACTATCGGGGCACCATGTTGGGCACCCATCGGGGCACCATCGTGACGCTATGTGGATTCTCACCGTGACATCATGCGGATACTCATCGGGACACCAGCGGGAACCATCGGGTCGCAATCGGGACACCAGCGGGGGGCACCATCGGGACACCAGCGGAAAAAATCCCCAAGTCACCGCCAGCCCACCGGCCGGACACCGTCGGGCCACCGCCGGGCAGCCGGGGGGCCAGCATCCTTTGGCTTTCTTTCGCCCTAGCAACGGCGAGTTTGGTCCGCTCGCCCGCCCACGCAGTTTCGCCCCGCCCGCACGCACGACACGAAATCGAATCCGATTTCCCGGTCGGGCTCTCTGTTTCATGTCGATCTCGCCCCCAAACCTCTGTCAAGTCGTGCGCACCCGTTTGTCGCGACAGATTATTCTCCATGAGTCCTTTGTATATTCTGGTGTACGACCACCCTTCGGGTGATAAAGGAGGTTGTGGGGGGAGTTCAGCTTTCGGTGTGCGATTGGGGTCAGATCGGATTCGGCGGAAACCAGTTTGGCACCACAGAGCACCTGTTTGGCAATCAGTATATCAATCTTACTCTCTATCTTCCAATCGATATCTCTACCGATCTCCCGCTGATTATCGATCTCACTAAATATCGATCTCACAGTCGACCTTACTATCCATCTCACTCTCGTTTTGTCGACCGATCGCACTATCAATCTCACTATCCATCTTACAATCGAACCCACGGGACACCACAGGACACCGCGTCATCAGTTTCCGCGGGACACCACGGTACGTTGCACCACAGGACACCACGGGACATCTGCGGAACACCCCAAGGCCGCCACGGGCCAACTGGGAGGGTAGAGTCATTGGACTCAGTTTCGCCAAAGCGACGGCGAATCACCGCCAGGATACCTTTATGCCACCGCCGGCCAACCCGGGGGGTAGAGTCATTGGACCCAGTTTCGCCCTAGCAGCGGCGGGTTCATCCTTCGCGCGCGCCCAAACAGCTTCGCCTCGCCCGCACGCACGACACGATCACGAATCGGAAACCAATTTCTCGGTGAGGGGTTTCAATTGCACTTCGAAATCACCCGCCAACCTCCGATCGCAAAGTCCACAGGCTCGCACATGTTCAAATCATACCAAACACACTTGTAATGCGACCATGTCAACGTATACGCTTCCAACACAGCGTTTGCTGATTATCAAACGTTCTGCAGATGTTCTGCTCGCGCGCACTTGCTGACATGAGAATACTTTAAGGTGTTAGCAGTCTCGTCGAGGACCCGCCGTATCATCTCACCGCGCGGTTAATTCGCGTAGATGTCGCATGCACCCAGTGCAAGATTCCGTGTCAAATCATGTTATGTGGACCAGATGCGCCCGCCACCAAGTGCGCGCGTCGAAACCATCGCAACACAATGTGTGTGTGCGTGTATGTGTGTGTGCGTTTGTGTGTATGTGTTCGAAGAGTTTCAAGATCTGGCCTCCCAAACGCACACCAACAACCAAAAGCGCTTCAACAAGCATGTTGCCAGATTTCTGGGATCCTTACACGATCGCGCGCACTACCTCATCGCCTTCACCAGCGCCATCGCATTACCGCCGTTATCGTCATCGTCAATCGCCGCCATTGCCGCCACTATTAGCGCGATCGCCAAAATCCACGACATATGGCCATCATCATCGTCATCGTGGTCACCAGCATCGGCGCCGTCACTGGCCTTGCCGTCGTCATCGCCATCATCGCCAGCACAGTCGGTAGTGTCATATTTGCCGCTGCTGTCGACGTCATCATGATGTCGCTTCCGCCCTGGCCACCGACACGGACTGAAGCGCCGTCGCGCCAGCATTGCTTCGACACGAGTTGGGAAGATCCCATCGGTAAGCGTCAACGCGGCCACATCGGTGGTGTCAGACAAGCTGGTCGCTTTGCGCGCGAGCGTGCGCGCGCCGGCGCGGCCGTTGAGCTGCGCTGGCAGGTGCCAATCACGAACTGCACACGTTGCCACGTAGGTGTTGCGAATAACTTGCGGGCGGGAGGGCGGGATGTCTTCGCGGGCAGTGGCGTGTACGATGTCGAGTTCTTCTTGCCAAGTCGCATAGCTCACGCCACATCACATACACTGCATAGCTGACACCACATAGCCTTCGCATAGCTGACACCTCCAATTCAATGTGCAACAACTCACTGATTGGGGCCCACGCTGGCGAACATCATATATCATGATATGTATGTGTATAGACATATATACATAAACACATGTAAGTGGGTCTTTCTCCATATCATGCTCCGAAGTACTTACCGTCGCCTCCTTCGTACCTGCCGTGTAGCGCAAGCCGGCCTCAGTCGTCCGCAACCTCTTTTTGCCATCCTGGGCACTCGGCCGCTTCCATTTCCGCTTCTGCTCGGGGGAGGCAGATACGGGTTCGTGCTACGTTGAGGCTGCAACATCGGCGCGGGCGCTCAAGGTTGGATGCCAGTATGCGCCTGAATTGGGCCGTTGGTCGAAAAGCTGACTGCCGTGACTTTTTCCCAACCATCCTGTGGTGTTGGGTCCTCGTGTTGAAGAGACCGCAACGCGCGTCCCTCCTCTCCTCCTCCCCCTTTTCCCTCCCTGCTCCCATCATCCTATTTTGGCACGTTTCGTGGCCCAACTGGAAGCTCCACCTCTAAGGTCCCAGTGGCGCCGTGGCTTCTGTCTTGCCGCACGTATCGGAGGGGGCCTCCCCTGCACTCCCCCTTGCCGCCGTCCCTCCCCGACCCTCTCGCCGCCGAACCCTCGGGTCCCGCCAAGCCAGAGCGATTACGATGGCAGCCAGAGTTAAGTCGGGCGTCCCTCTACAGAAGGAATATTCAAAAATACCAAAAAAAAAAAGTACGGGGACCAAATTAGTGAGCATTGTTAAATATTTTAAAGTATTGTTCGACTTTGTTTCATATTTGTCCTCCAATATTCGCCTGTAGGGGGACATGCCCGGCCTAACAGTTGTCGGGCGGAGCTGGGACGAGGATCAATCCGTCCCACAGCGGTACAGAACGCTATTCGTGCGCTCCGGAACGCTTTGAGAAGGCCGTGGCGCCAGAGACATCCTCCAGAACCGCCACATCTCAGAGATTTGTTTCCCCAATCAGTGGTTGCACTGAAGGGGTCCCAGCGGAGATTGAAACATTTGGCGAAAGTGCTGGGCCGATTTCGGTAGGCGGCCGTGTTCCCGCGGGTTCCCAGTTCCGGGTTCCCGGGTTCCCTGGACCGATTTCGGTGGGTGGCGGGGTTCCCGGGTTTCCGGGTTCTGGGGTTCTTGGTCGATCTCTGTATCGATCGGTCTGACCATCGATTTCATTACCCACCTCTCTATTGATTTCATAATCGATCCCACTATAGATTGCACGAGCGATCTCACGATCAATTTCATGATCGATCTCACTGAATCGAGTTCTCGATCGGTTCCACGATGGACCTTATTATCGCCCTTGTTATGGATCCCACAATCTGTCTCACCTTCGATCTCACAATCGATTCCAGTCTATCCGTAAGACGAATTGTCAAACCATCCATTGATTGGGGTATTTCTCTGGTGTGCGATCTCTGCAATTTTTGTTCGGCGTCCCGGCTTCGTCCTGACATGGGCTCCAGCTCGGGTCGGGCGGGGGGCGGGCTCCTGCACGCAGGTGGTGGCGTGCAGCTGGTGTCGGCCTGGCCGCCCGGCGCACTCCTTGGACGCAAGGGCCCCTTCGGCGCCGGAAGGCGCCAGGACATTTTTCTCCAGGGGTTGCTCGGCGGCGAGCGGGGGAGGGCAGTGAGTCGGAGAAGGCCTTCCCAGAAGGCGGTGGGACTTCTCAGAAGCCCTCGCGCCCTCTGAGAAGCTGTGTTCTGTGTCTTTGGGGAAGGCTCAGGAAACTCCACAGAAGGCTGCGGGACTTCCGAGCCTTCTGAGAAGGTCCGCCTCTTCACACTTTCCCCCCGGGCTCGCCGCCAAGTTGCGAAAGGTGCCCTTGGCTGAAGGTGCCACCAGTATTTCCAGGGAGGCCCCCACGGCCTCCAGAGCACCCCTTACGAGGTTCAGAGGGCCCCAGGGGCTCCAAAATTGCGCGAAGAGCTGGGGGCACCTTGGGCCAGGGGCGCTTTGAGCAACCCCCGACAGCTGCGCGAGCTGAGTCGCTACCCCCTTTTCCCTCCCTCGGAGGAGGAAGAGGTACCCATACCCCTACCCTTTATCGATTTTGCTGTTTGTGTCTCCAAGGAGGCCTTCGTCGCCACCGCCTCGATTTGCCTCGAAATCCTGGCCAGAATGCACCCCAGGAGAGGTCCAGGGAGTAGCGATATCGGCAGCGTTTGGTTTCCCCCTTCCATGACTTTCCAGACTGCGAAAACCTAGCTCTCCGGATTCATAGTCTTACCAGGCACTGCTCATAACTCCGACTGTAGTCTTAGAGTCGAGGGTCCTGGGGCCATGTTCTAGCACTCCTTGAAGTTCTGGGTTCGTAACGCCCCCCTTCCCCTTTCCTGAGATTCGACGTTGCGAACATCTGCACATCGCGAAGCATCATGACAGTACAGTGGGGGCCCATGCCAGGAAACACCCTGCTTGCCTGCAGGGTGCCCTTGGGTTCTCGGGTTTCGATGGTCTTGCGATGGAAAGCGTGACGGTCCCACATCGAGAATCGATGAACGTCCTGGGGTCTCAGGGGTTGACTTTCTCGTGGAAGGTTTCTTCTTGTGGTCGGGCCCCCGCTGCAGCCCCGTGCTCCGTCGTCCTGCGGCGAGCCGGGTCGGTCCGGATCCTGGGGCGCCTACGCCCAGGAGGGCCTCCTCGCCCAGCGTGGAGCGGCTGCGACGCCAGGGGTCGCTCTCCAGGCGGCCCCGGGGCGAGCGCCAGGCCTCCCGCCTGGGTCCGCGGCGTCCGCGGGGTGCGAGTAGGGGATCGACTACAGATTGATTGCCCCAAGATTGATTTGTTCGTCGAGTCTAGGAGACGTGCGTAAGAATGCTCGTTGGTCTACGAAAAGTTTACGCATTTGCTTGCAGGCTCGACGAGAAAATCAATAGTAGGTAGGGTAAATCGTTGTTTTTGCCGATCCCCTACTGATGGGCGCGCGCCCGCGAGGGGAAAGACTCCATGCCCGAGCTGAAGCGGCCACGCCTGGAGCCGCCGCCGCCGCCGGACGGCGGGACCGCGAAGTGGATGCCGCCGCCCGTGGGGAAGCCCGCGGCCGGGAAGGACCATACTGGGCCGCCGCGGTGCCCTCTCGTCGGGACGATCGAAATTGGTACGGAAAGAGTGGGTATGATGCCCAACAGCACCACTTGTTTATTTTCAACAAGACTCGCTGTCCGCGCCGCCGCGGACGTTGTTCACTGAAGACAAGGCCGCCTGCCCAACAGCGGCCGCTGTCGGTTTGGGACAACAAATGTTGTTGGGCAGTGTACCCATTTTTTCCGTACCCATTTCGGGCGTCCAAATCTCAGAGGAGGACGTGGCATCGTTCGGGCGTGTGCATGTTTTTTCGTCTCTCTCTCTCTCTCTCTCTCTCTTGGCGAGGATCATCGATCCGCGGACGACTTGTGTTACACTGTACCGCGCTGGCGTCTTCCGAGGCATCGTCGATCTTCGACCCAGGGAAGGTACGGTGCCGTGGTTCAGGGGAGGTATCGGCCGAAGGAGCAGTAAACTGTACCGGTTTGGAGCAGGGCCTCGAGGGAGTCCAAACACGATACGGTGCATGGGTACATTTCTCGTAATCGAGGAGCATCTTGGCTCATCGAGCACAACCAAAAAACAGACACACGCACGAAGCCGGCACATGCACGGGCACAGGACGTCCGAGCGATGGCAAGAGGACCGGGGCGGGTTGTCATGGGGGGTGACCTGATTGGGGGATGCATCGGGCGGGGCTAGGACGAGGTTCGAGGGTTTGGGTTCGAACCTGATGTTTTGTTGTTATTGGCCTTTTTCGGTTTCCAGGGGCTGTTTTCGGGACCTAGGACTGTCAAACACAGATCCGGGATGAACATCTGCACCAGATGGGCCCCAGGAGAGTGTTGGAGACCGATCTTGAGCGCATTTGCCCTTATCTCAGACGTGACTAGGATCTTGACAAATCCGGTCAAGAGCGTTCCAGAACGTTCTGAGCAGGCCGCAGCGCCCGAGACATCTTCCAGAACCACCTGATCTCGGAGATTCTTGATGTATCCTCATCCGATGTTATCCTCGTCCTGGCTCAAAGGGGCCCTTGAAGGCCCCTTTGGGAGCCAGCAGGGGCCCAAAAGGGGCCATCAAGGGTCCCTTTGGGGCCCTGTTCTCTACTCCCCAAGGAAGGTCATCCCCCATCGGCCCCCCCCCCCTTACCACCTCACCACCCGCCGAACCACCCCAACCCAACCCGAAGGCCCCAATTTGCCGTCTAATTCCCGTGGGGGGGCGTCGGGGGACATTGAAAAAACACGGATGGAACCCATACCCCTCCCAACCCGAAATTCGGGTCTTCAGGTTGGGCTTGGATGGTCTGGTAGGTATTCGCCACCCGCCCGCGACCGTCGTTACCCGTCGGCCACGCGCAGAGGGGTGGGGGGTAAGAGGAGGGAGGGCTTCTTAGAAGCTAACCTGCTTAGAAGGCGCGGGCTTTCTGTCTGTAGATGCAAGGCCGGCTCATTCTAAGAAGCAGCCTCCCTCTAAGAATTTTTTCCCCCTCCCCCATACCCCATCCCCCTTGTGCGCGCTGCCAATACCTTTCCCATCGTTTTCGTCGCTGGCTTCGTGTCCGAATCCTCGTCAGAGCGCACCCCGAGAGAGATATGGGGAGTAGCGGCGTCGGTACCTTTTGACTCGGGGCCCCGAGGGAAACGAGTCCCGAAGTTTTGTCGCCGTCTTCGGGCTCCCGGAAACCTCATGCTCAATGTTCGAAAAGAAAATTGCATACATTTACACTTTCGGAGGCCCGCGCACATCTTTTGGATCGGCGCTGCGCCCCCCTGGCGGCGCCTGCGACGCCGTCCCTGGCGCGCTTCGCGCGCCAGGTAGAGAAGTCCAGCGCCCCTCCGAAAGTGGAAGGTTATGCGGACCTCCGAAAGTGGAAGGAATCGATATACGGTGGAAAGGTTGTCAGTGGAAGGTTGCACGGTTAAACTGTAAGAGTTGGTGAAAGAAATCGATAATTCAGGAGCGGAACAAGAACGTACATGTACATGAATCCACGCTGGTTTCGAGAGTTCACATTGCGCAAATGTTCGTATAACGCGGCCGGTCTCACGGATCGAGGGGCCGTGTTCGTGTACATAGCTGGGCGCGTACGTCTTTTGTGGGCTCCCTAATAATACCGACCTGCGAAAGTGGAAGGTTATACGGTTACACGACCTCTGCAACAAGTCGTCGCGCACCTCAGGAAGTGGAAGGCGATGCGTGTTTTGCTCCGAAGCGGGCCCCGAGAGAGTCAGGTCCTGCATGTTTCCCACGGCTTCCGGGCTCCGGGGGCTCTGCACGGGCCGCCGGGCCGTGGCAGGAGGCTTTGACCGAGGCGCGCTGGTGCGGCGGCCGGGCCGACCAGGGCATCACACAGCGGCAACGCTGGTCAGTCCTGGGTCCCTGGCCAGTCCCTGGTGCACTCCCCGGGGAGGGTCGGAGGAGGAAAGGGTACCCATACTCGGGGGCGGCAAAGAGGGGGGGGGGGATGACTAGGGGGGGTGGATATCATGGCGGGGGCCATGTTATTTCCTCAGATTTCATGGCGCCTCTCCTTATTTCATTACGTCTCTCCCGATACCTCTACCCTTCCCTCGTTCTCCCCTATTTAGGTCTCCTAGGAGGCTCTCGTCGCCACCGCTGGATCCGCCCCGAGACTCGTGTGGTCAGAGCGCACCCTGGCAGAGGTACGGAGGGCGGCGGTATCGGTACCTTCTGGTTTCCCCAGATGGAGGACGATGGAGAGGGGTGCAGCATGGTAGGAGAAGGTGAACAGGGGTCTGCACGCGCGAAATGGGCACGGAAAGAATGGGGACGATGCCCAACAGCGGATCTGGTTCATTTTGAACAGGCCTCGCTGTCCACGCCGCCGCGTCCTGTGTCCATCTGAGACAGGAGGCCGCCTGCCCAACAGCGGTCGCTGCTGGTTTGGGACAACATCTGTTGTTGGGCATTGTACCCAGTCTTTCCGTACCCATTTCGGGCGTCCAAATTTTGGTTTCCCCAGAGGGAGGACGATGGAGAGGGGGGAAGCATGGTAGGAGAGGGTGAACAGGGGGAACGGGGAAGGCAATGCAGCGTCGCCAGGGTCCTTTCTGGACACATGGGCCGCAACCTTGCCCCTGCTCCACAACTGCACAAGATCGCGGAAGGTGGTTCATATCACATCCATAGAATTCAGAATGCATTCCTTTGCCGGGCATGCGTTCAAGTCAGCACACGAATTCATCCACATCACCAGAGAAGGCGATATTCCATCCAAATGGGCAGTCACCCTACGCACGTACATGAATCGTACCTGGCCAGCATCATGGGCATCCAATAGCGGCGTTGGGATCCCAGCCAGAGACAGCATGGCTCTCGTGGAACGATCAAGCATCACTCACCAAGAGAGAATCGTCGAAATAACCTCAGGAAGCACCGACAGCAGCTACACGAGCAGGTCTGATAGAGCGCACCAGCAAGGCCGAAAAGCCGCTTCCGAGGTCACCGAACATTGTCACAAAGAAGTATGGTGCCATCCCTGAAGTTCTTGTGGACCTCTAAGTTCCGGACGGGTTGAAGTTCATGGTCAGGCACGGGCATTGATTGCCAAAGCGGATCCGTTGGGAATGTCAGACAAATTTGTTTCACGTCATGTGCTGGCAGTCGAGGACGGAGCAGGAGGATGGAGGTGGGGAAGATGAGGAAGGAGAGGAGGGAGGAGCATAGGAGGGAGGAGGATGGAGTAGGAGGAGGATGTTGAGAAGGAGGAGGAGGAAGAAGAGGACTTCCTGGGCCTCTCCTGGAGGTTGTTTTGAAGCTCGAGGCAGATCCAGCCGTGGTGACGATCGGTGCCGCACGACGGGGGCTGCCAGGACAGGGTGGGTACCGACATCTGCCGCGTGCTGCCAGTTTCGGCCCCGCCGCAAGGGCGCTCTCCCCGATACGGTGGCGCCTCCGGCGCCAGGATGCGCCTGAGCAGCCAGCTCCGTGAGCTGAGTCGCTACTCCCCTTGTTGCCCCTCGCAGGTGATCCTACTCCCCAAATCAAAGAAAACACGCTATAAACATAGACTTTCGGCGCTCCGCGGGCATTTCTTGGATCCGCGCTGGGCCCCCCCGGCGGCGCCTACGGCGGCGCCCCTGGCGCGCTCCGCGCGCCAGGAAGGGGCGTCTGGCGAGGATCCAAGAAATCTGCGCGGAGCGCCAAACGTTTATGTTTATGCTGGCACTTGTTCTTCCATCGAAATCCCCGAGATCCGCCCGAGACGTTTGGCTGCTCAGACAAAAGAGGGAGGGAGAGCTCTGGGATACCCCCCCCCCGAGGCGGCGATTCGGGCGCTCCTGCTATCGGGGATGCACGCCCCGCTCTCCGTATGCATCTCCCAGGGCTGGGCCCCCCAAACGTTGGGTCCGGTCGAAAGCGCCCCCCCCCCAAAAGTCGGGGACGACTGGGGCCACCCCTTGTGCGTCCGCCCCGGGACGAGGAGGAGGAGGAGGAGGAGGAGGAGGAGGAGCAGGAGGAGGAGGAGGAGGAGGAGGACGAGGAGCCCGCTCCTCAGCTGCCCCCACCCCAGATCATTGGATGCGTACCCGATCTCTTCGGTCGCGATCGGTCGCGACCGATCGGCACTCCAAAAATCGGTCGCGATCGATCGCGACCGATCCCCAGATGGGTCGCGATGGGTCGCCACCGATGGCAACCGATCGGTCGCGCGCGATCGGGCGCGACCGATTTTGAAGCAACTCGGTCGCGACCGATAGCGACCTTTGAAACAAAATCTGTAGCGACCGTTCTCGTTGGTCGCGACTGGAACATTCCAGTATCCAGTAGCCAGGGAACCTGGGTTCCTCCCAGCTTTATGCCGGGCATGTCCCTCTACAGGAGGAACATCCAAACACAGCCAAACACAAATCCTATGGAGACGACAGTTCTGTATTTGATGATTTGGTTTGGTAATGTTAGGCTATGTTTCATGTGTCGTTGAACAAGCGTCTGCAGGAGGACACGCCCGACCTGATCTCAGCTGCCCTCCACCCCCGCCGAGCGCGGCAGGGCCTTGGGCATCCCGGCGGCGAGGCTCCAGAGCCTCGACCCTGTGAGCCTCGGGCCTCTCGTCTTCGAGCCTCTCGTCCTCGATCCGCTCGTCCTCGAGGAGCCTCCCGTCCTCAAGGCGCCTCTCGTCCCCGTTCGAGTCTCGTCCTCAAAGCCCCTCCCGCCATCGCACTTTTTTTGTTGCCTGTTGACGAGCCTCCTGCCCCCGAAGTCTCCTCGATCCTCGAGCCCCTCGTTCCTCGCACCCCTCGATCCTCTCGGACGAGGAGGAGCGAGGAGCGAGGAGCGAGGAGGAGGAGGCGGAGGAGGAGGAGGAGGAGGAGGAGGAGGAGGAGGAGGAGGAGAGAGGAGGAGGGTAGGAGGAGGAGAGAGGAGGCAGGAGGAGGAGGAGGAGGAGGAGGAGGAGGAGGAGGAGGAGAGGAGGAGGGAGGAGGAGGGGGAGGAGGAGGGGAGGAGGCGGAGGATCGCTCCTCTCGCCCCTCGCACCCCTCGCACCCCCTGGAGAACGACGGCGAGAAGCGCCGCCTCCGCCCCGCCGCGCTTCCCCGCCCCGGCGGCGCCAGGGCAAGGCGTACGGCGGCGGCAAGGGGCACGGCGGCTACAAGGGAGGAGGCGCTGCGCCCCGGTCGCCCCGTCGGCGGCCCGCGGATCCCCCCCCCCGGCTATAAGTCGTGAGTGTCCCTCCGCAGACATTAAAACAGTCCTTCTCCTCCTCCTCCTCCTCCTCCTCCTCCTCCTCCTCCGCCTCCTCCTCGTCGTCGTCGTCCTCCTCGTCCTCCTCGTCCTTGTCCTCCTTTGCCGCCTCTTTATCCATTCTGCTGCTTCTCCTTGGTAGCAGACAGAGATGGTAGCAGCAGAGCAAGGAGTGGGGAGGGGGACATGCCCGACCTAACCCCAGCTGGGGGTCTGAGGTGGCCGGGTGCCCCCCCCCCCTTTCCTACAGATTTGGAACATGTACGTGCCCATACCTCTACTCTTCGCCCGTTTATCAGCTTTTGGGGCCTCCTGGGAGTCCCTCGTCGCCACCGCTGGATTCGCCTCGAGGTTCTAGTTAGAGGGGACACCCCGGGAGAGGACCGTGGAGTAGCGGTACCAGTGCCTTTTGGTTTCCCCACCCCCGTCGCTTCGGGCTGCGGGTGGGTCGCCCACCTCGCTTCCCCTCCTGTCCCCTACTTCAAGGGAGGAAAAACCACCCGGACCGGACAACGGCGTTTGCTAAACGGCCCTGGGCGTTTACCAGACAGCCTTGCCCCGTTCGATTCCTTCTCTGGGCGCGTTTCCTAAACATCTCCGCGTGTCGGGGTGGTTAGTATGGGGGGGTGATTGTTTGACGTCGACTACAGTCGAGACGTTGAGACACAAGGACCGCTCTGGGCTCACCAGGTGCTCGGGTTGGCGGGCCGTGTCGTGCCCTTCTGTCGTGGAGCCTGTGTGTGGCTTGGGCGGACCGTGGCCAGCAAAGCCCCTGCGCCCCTTGTTCTGCGTTCCTGCTGGTAGCACGCTGACGGTAGGTGTCTAGTCCGCGCTCCATGCCACCGCGGCCTTAGGCCTTGGAGACACTACGCCGCCCTGCCGAACCCCTCCTCAACTCCGCACTGCCACCTCGCCTGCGCCGACAAGGAGCCCGAGGTGGCCCCGCATGGGTTCCGGCGAGCCGGAAATGGGGGCGAGGTTCGAGGGTTTGGGTTCGAATTTGATGTCTGTTGCGTTTTTTGGCCTCCAAGGGGCTGTTTTCGGGACCCGGGACTGTCAAGAATAGCTCTTGGACGAAAATCGGCACCAGTTGCGCCCCGGGAGATGTTTGGAGATCGAGGTTGAGTGGAATCGCCTTTGCTTCGGAGAGGGCCAGGACGAGGATAAAGCCGTTCCACAGCGGTCCAGAACATTCTCTGAGCGTTCCGGAACGCTCTGAGAAGGCCGCGGCGGCCGAGACGTCTTCCAGAGCCGCTGGATCTCAGAGCAGGATCTCAGAGATTCTCGATTCATCATAGGTCGTCGGGCATGTCACCCTACAGGCAGATCTTGGAGGAAAAGTACAAGATGGTCAACACATGTTCAAAAACGGTTGCAAAACAGTTGAAAACTCGTCCCCGGATTATTGTTGTACTATTCTTGAATCTTGATTCGTCCTGTAGAGGGACGTGCCCGACTTAAGATGTATTCAGGGGCAACAACAGGGGGGTGATAGGCATAGGGGGGGATGCATCGATCCCCAATCGCCCATTGATCGCCGATAGGGGCCCGATAGCCCAAACTTGCCCAGGAAGTTGCGAATTCACCATCGGAGGCCTATCGCCGATCTATCGACGATGTATCGCCAATTCCAGGTCGATGCATCCCCCCTTATGCCCATTCCCCCTATCGTTGCCCCTCATGTATCCTCCGCCGCGGCCAGAGGGGCTTCTTCGTTCTTCATTCGGCGTCGTTCCTCCTGGCAGCCACCTGGGAACCCGACCCCTGCCCTGCGGGTTCACTCGCGACGCTCGGGCATCGGACGCCCCCGCCCGGGCTTCTCACTTCGCTGCCGACGCCCCTCGATTTCTGCCCCCCAGTCCGCTTGTTCCGAATCCGACCCGCGGGGGTGGGGTTCAGCTCCCAGACGTGTGGTGTCCTTTCAGTGGAGGCCCATGCCAAGAAACACCCTGCTTGCCTCCAGGGTGCCCTGGGTTTCTTGGGTTTCGATGGTTTTGCGACGGAAGGCGTGACGTCTCCACACCAAGAATCAATGGACGTCCTGAGGTCTCGCCTTTTCACATCCTGCGGCGAGGAACCCCAGAGGCTGCAGTCGGGGAACAGCCTCCCGGCGTGACTCTGTTCGACGACGCGAGCACGCTTTGGCTCGCGTGTGGTGGCCTGACGTCTGCTCGCTGGCCCGCGCGCGGCTCGACGGCTGACGGCGGTCTGCCCCGCGGCGCCCCGCGCGGAGGCGGCGGCATGCCGCCGCAGAGGCCTTCCTACGGGAAGGGGCCCGCCTTCCAAGAAGGCCGCCCGCCCCCCTCGGGCGGAGGCAGGACGACGACAAATCCGTTCCAGAGCAATCCAGAACGCTCTCAGAGCGTTCCGGAACGCTCTGAGAAGGCCGCGGCGCCCGAGACATCTTGCAAAGCCGCGAAAATTTCCGAGGTTCTCGATTTGTCCGTACAGAGTTTATCCTCGTCATGGCTTCGTCTCACCCACCCGTTTTCGGGGGAATTGAAGAGTTTAAACGGCATAAGCAGAAAATGTTGAAGCTCCGCGCGGGTTCCTTGGACCTGCGCCCAGGTCCCCCCTGGCGGCGCCTCTGGCGCCGCCCCTGGCGCGCGGAGCGCGCCAGGGAGGGGCGCCCAGCGCGAATCCAAGAAACCTGCGCGGTCCTCAAAAAGTTTATGTTTATGCCGTTTCTTGTTCCTCACAGGAAGGAGGAGCGTCACGACCACCACCAGTGGGGCCACCTCCAGCGAAGAGGTTCACGATGCTCCCGCGAGCTGGGATGCCTCGAGCGAGAGGGGCGGCACACCACCAGGGCCCCCTCCCTGGCTCTTCCCGCTGTTGGCCCCTGGTGGTGGTGGTGTCGCTTTTCCTTGTTCCCACCTCTGCTGCTCGGAGGAAAGAAGGAGGGCCACGGCCGAGGGGAGGGGAGGGCGCCCTCGCGAGGAGAGGGTGGGGCATGGCCGTGATGAGCGAAGCGAGCAGGCAGGGAGCCTCTCTCGGAGTGGCTCCCTGCTGTCCCTCCTGCTTCTCTCCTTTCCTCCTCCCCCTCCTCCTCCTCCTCCTCCTCCTCCTCCTTCTCCTCCTCCTCCCCGTGTTCCTCCTCCTCCTGTTCCTGCTCCTGCTCCTGCTGCTTCTCTTCTCTTCCCCCCCTCCCTCCTCCCCCTCCCCCTCCTCCTCCTGCTCCCTGGCCCCTCCTCCTGCTCCCTGGCTCCTCCTCCTCCTCCTCCTCCTCCTCCTCCTCCGTTCATCCTGCTCCTCCTCCCTTTCCCCCTCCTCCGCCACGCTGGGGCTTCGGTGCCTGCGTGATGTTTGTTCCCCCGTCTGGGGTGCGTGGTCCGATCTGGCCTGTGGTTAAACTAAATGTTCCTCAACGTTCTTCCGCCTCCTCCCTCTCCTTCTCTTCCTCCTCCGCCTCCTTCTCCTCCATTCTTTTTCCTAATGAACAAATTCTCCCTGTTGCACCCCGAGGCCGGTCGAAAGGGGGGGGGCCGGGCGTTTCCCTTGATAATCTCTACCATTCATGGCCTTGAAGCTTAAACGTTTGCAATAGCTTCGCAGATGGAGGGCGGGCCGTTTTCAAAATGTGGCTCTCGCCTTAGCGCTGCACATAGGCGTTTAAACAATTTGCAAGAGCTTCACGGAGTGAGGGCGGGTCGTCTTCAACATGTGGTTTTGGCGTCAGCACCGCGTGCATTCATTTGACAAATTGGCCAAAGAAAAAATGTGAATCTCGCATTCGCGCCGCGCGCACTCCTGTCTGTTTAATAATTTGCAAGAGCTTCACGGATTGAGGGTGGCTTTTTCAGCATTTGGTTTTCGCTTGAGCGCCGCGCGCATTCTTTTTTCAACATTGCAGCGGTTTCGCGGATTCCCAGGTTCAACGTACCAGAAATAGCGTTTGGGAAAGATTCACGCGTGCAGCAGTTACTTTGATTCGCGGTGTTGAAGTCCTAGGAATGGCGTTTTGACACGATTCTTGATCGTACAGACGCAACAGTCAGGTTGATCCGTGGCTTTGGAGTTCTGAGAATAATACTGTGGCACGCTTCAGGCTTTCCAAACGGCTGTTTTCCAACGAGGCAGTTCCCTCAGTGGAAATGCCATGAAGAGGGAGCTCGGAGGGACGGTTTTTTCCAACATCGTTGATGACTCTTGGGTTTACATTGGTCTTCCTCCTTCTCCTCGTTTCATCCTCGTTTCATCCTCCTCCTCCTTCTCCTCCTCCTCCTCCTCCTCCTCGTCCTCCTGCTCCTCCTCCTCCTCCTCCTCCTCCTCCTCCTCCTCCTCCTCCTCCTCCTCCTCCTATTCCTCCTTCTCCTTATATTCCTCCTCCTCCTCCCCCCCATCTCCCCCTCTTTCTCCTCCTCCTCCTCCTCCTCCTTCTCCTCCTCCAGAGTGTAGTTCAGACATGTGGAGCTCGAATGGGTAAGACAGACAGACAGACTCCTCCTCTTCCTCCTCCTCCTCCTCCGGGTAAGACAGACAGACAGACTCCTCCTCCTCGTCCTCCTCGTCGTCCTCCTCCTCCTCCTCCTCCTCCTCTCCTCCTCTCCTCCTCCCCCTCCCCTCCCCCTCCTCCTCCTCCTCCTCCTCCTCCTCCTCCTCCTCCTCCTCCTCCTCGTCTTCCTGCCCTCCTTCTCCTCCCCGTCCTCCTCCCCATCCTCGCCCTTCTCCTCCTCCTCCTCCTTCTCCTCCTGCTCCTCCTCCTTCTCCTCCTCCTCCTCCTCCTTCTCCCCCCCTGCCTCCTCCTTCCCCTTCCTCCTCTTCCCCCTCCTTCCCCGGACTCCCCACCTCCTCATCACTCCGGCGAGGCGGGGCAGTGCCCCTGCGGAGGCTCGTTCGCTCGCTCGGTTGGGCAGCTTGCTCGGGCTCGCAGTTTGTCATGGGCCTCCGGTGGCCCGTCACGGCAGGCCCATGCAACACCTTGCGAGCCATTTGGAGGCAATTTGTATTCTCCCTCCCTCACTCGACTCTCAATGTTGAGAGAGCAACATGCCAGCGTCTGTTTCGCAAGTGTCGGTGCCCTGTCATAACTTGTGAGCATGGCCATGACGGTCGAAAACATATCTTGGGCGGCATTTCGGTCTCCGCGACGGGGTCGAGGTCTCTGGAGCTCGTTCCCTGAACAAGCTCAGAGCGTCGGCGGTCTGCCCTAAAAAATTCGACGGCGACGGAGGACGGCGAGGACGAGGGCGACGCCGACGCCGAGGTCGAGAACTGCAACGGTGGCGACGGCGGCGGCGGCGGCGGCAGCGATGGCGACGCCGTCGTCGTGGCGCCGCGGGTGGCGTGGCGACGGCGCCTCGCGGAGGCCGTCCGACGGCGGCTTGCCGTCGCACTGGCGGCGACGGCGACGGCGAAAGGTGGCCGTGCGCGGCCGTGCGAGGCGGTCAGGACGGTGGCTTCCAGTCCCAGCCGAGCTGGATGCAGCAGGAGTCGTGGACGTCGCCTGGCGGGGCCTGGGGGCATCCTCTCCTCCTCCTCCCCCACCTCCCCCTCCTCTTCCTCCTCCCCGTCCTCCTCCTCCTTCTCCCCCTCCTCCTCTTCCTCCTCCTCCTCCTCCTCCTCCTCCTCCTCCTCCTCCTCCTCCCCCACCTCCCCCTCCTCTCCTCCTCGTCCTCCTCCTCGTCCTCCCTCCTCCTCCTCCTCCTCCTCCTCCTCCTCCTCCTCCTCCTCCTCCCCCTCATCGTCCTCGTCTTTCTCCTCCTCCTCCTTCTCCTCTTCCTCCCTGTCCTCCTCCCCCTCCTTCCCCTCGTCCTCCTCCTCCTCCTTCTGCTGCCTCCTCTCCTCCTCCTCCTCCTCCCCTCCTCCTCCTCCCTCCTCCTCCTCCTCCTCCTCTCCTCCTCCTCCTCCTCCTCATTTTCCTCGTCTTTCTCCTCCTCCTCCTCCTTCCTCCCTCCTCCTCCCCTCCTCCCTCCTCCTCCTCCCTCCTCCCTCCTCCCTCCTCCCTCCTCCTCCTCCTCCTCCTCTTCCTCCTCATCCTCCTCCTCCTCCTCCTCCTCCCCCTCCTCCCCTCCTCCTCCTCCTCCTCCCTCCTCCTCCTCCTCCTCCTCCTCCTCCTCCTCCTCCCTCCTCCTCCTCCTCCTCCTCCTCCTCCTCCTCCTACCTCCTCCTCCTCCTCCTCCGCCTCCTCCTCCTGCCCTCCTCCCATTTTCCTCCTGCTCCTTCTCCTCCTCCTCCTCCTCCTCCTCCTCCTCCTCCTCCTCCTCTTTGTTCTCCTCATTTCTCCTCCTCCCCCTCCTCCTTCTCGTCCCCATCCTCCCTCCCTCCTCCTCTTCCTCCTCCTCCTCCTCCTTTTCCTTCTCCGCCCCGTTCCCGGGTCCTCCACCTTTCTCCTGGCCCCGACGGGGCTCGACCCGATGAGGACCCAGATCTTCGAGCGTTCTGGGGGGCCCGTTTGGGGTCGGGGACCTCTGGCTCCTCCCATCTCGTCTTCGACGAGGCTCGACCCCGGCGAGGACCGAGATATTCGGGCGGTCTGGGGGGCATATTTGGGGTCGAGTCGTGGACGACGGCTGGCTGGGCCGGTTGTCGCTCCCCCCCCCCACTTCCTTGTCCTCGATGAAGCTCGACCCCGACGAGGACCGAGACCTTCAAGCGTTCCCAGGTAGTCCAGAGGGCACGGAGGATTTCGGACCTGGCCTGGCACCTGAAGAGCGGCGGGCGTGCTGGCCGTTGCCACGATCAGTGCGGGCGCGTCTCGCGCGGCCAACGTTTTGCTTGATCTGCCAGCCTGCGTGGGCTCCGTCGCGCAGAACGCCAACGTCCACCTCTGAGACCAGCGAAGGCCATACGACCCCGACTGAGCACTCGCAGAATCGCCGACACCCGACGCCCGGATCACGGCGGAGACGCCTCATCCCGAATTCCTTGTGTTGTTGGGGTCTTCTGGACCCACGACCTTTGGCCCTGATCTCCATCCTCGGCCCTGTGCTGGGCGACCTTCAGGGCCACTTTCCGACAGCCTCCATCCAGACCCAGATTTCCGACGTTTTGGTTTTCCATTGCGTCGATCCCCAGAGGTCTCGACCCATTCCCCGGGACCGGCTCTTCATCCAGAGTAGTTTTTGTTGGACGGTCTTGGGGCCCGGCTGGCCCCTCCCAGAGGCCGAACTGGGTAATAAGAACAATAAGACGCCTCCGCCATGATTCCTGTGATGACCCGAGGGCCACAGCGCCAGGCCCCTGTCGGCCGAAAAGGTGCGTGGCATCGCCCCAGAATCGGTGTCCGAAAGCGTACCCGAAGGTCGGCCCGCACACGTAAAGTGTGGCAGAGTGTGTGACCGATCTCGATTCTTCCGCCTCTGAGTGGCATTTTCTTCTCCTCTCCACCCGCGGCCGCCCGCTCCGCTCTCTCCCCGCTCTTTGCATGCTGGCCAATTCGCTTGTCGGTGCTCCCCGTCTGGCTCTATCGCTGGCGCAGCCAACCATCGCCGATTCGGTCTCGACCCAGACATTTCGGTCACGCCCTGTGGCGCGTTCGGGCACACATTCGGGCGCGGGTGCCGGTCACAACTGGGGCAGTTGTTCGTGCACAGCTTCGGCCACTGCATCTCGTTCCCTCCACCTCCATCTCGCATACCTTCCAACCTCCGCGGAGGATGCGGAAGAATTCCTTTAAAGTCATGGCATGATCCTGCGCAGTTCAGGGAAACCCACATAGATCAGATAGAAAAACAGGGCGGATGGTTAGGGCTGAAGGTCCAGATAAATGGGGTTGAGGGCCCAGATCATCGGATACACGATTTTGGGGCTGCGATCGGTAGCGGCCGATCGGCACTCCAAGTCGGTCGCGACCGATCACGAACGATCCTCAAATCGGTCGCGACTGGTCGCCACCGATCGCGACCGATCTGTCGCGACCTTTTCTGAAGCAAGTCGGTCGCGACCGATACCGACTTTTGAAGCAACATCGGTAGCGACCGATTGTGTCGGTCGCGACTGGAAGAATGCTGCATCCGATGATCGAAAAGTGGACGTTTTTTTAGCAAGGGGAGGCTGATCGACCTTCCGACGAAGCTGGCCCATCACCCCCTCCCCTCTCTCTTCAGACCGTTCAGACTGCGCTCGCTACCCCGCGGTGCCAGAAAGACAGCACAAAGACATGAGCATGACTAGACGCTTAGTGGGCCCCGGAAACGGCAGGGCTTATTTTTCACCGTTTTCGGAGAAGTGTCTTGAACATGGAAGCGGGAAAGAAACGACAAAGCGGAATCGGCAAGAAATGGCCCTGTCGCTTCCAGGGCACACTAAGGACTAGACGCAGCCCCCCGGTTGTGTTCCTCCATGCTCGGAGGAGGAGGACGCTGCGGCCCTGGACAAGGGGTCCTTGCCTGCACAAGCAGCGGGGCCAGAGACTTGGTCGCCCCCCCGCTCCGTGGGTGCGTCTCACACCGCTCCTTCAAGAACCGAGGCCAGGAAGCCTTCAATTCAAAGCAGTGCACTGCCAACACCAGACAAACCTCACATTCTCAATAACCACATCGATGTATACATGTTGCAATTATGATAAGCCTCAGTATTCAACTTCCGACCTCCGCGGAAGGTACGGAATAATTCATCGACGCTCATGGAGACTTTCTAGTACGTAAGTCAGCGAAGCCCACATCGATCAGGGCGAACAATGGGTGGAAGGTGACGGCGGAAGATCCGGAATAATGGGTCGAAGGGTTTAGGTGTTGTGAAGCTCGTGCGATTTTCCTTTTCTCATTGGAGATTGGCAGGCCCGGACCCGATCCAGAGCGCGTGGGAGAAGTGGGCTGCCGCTGCTATCTTGGGGATCCCTGGGCATGGGGAACGCAGCCGGGGCTCCTCTGGATCTGGCCCGTCTCCCGCAGATTTCACAGACAAGCGCTTTGCCACCCCCTGCAGATCTCATTCCCATCGGGGTCTGCAGCTCGTTCCAGCGGGGGGACATCGGGCGGGGCTCGGGTGGGCTTAGCCTTGCAACGCTCCGCATCTTTCAGCCCCACCCCCGCGACACCTCCCCAAACGTGAGGATACCGAGAGAATTGCCGACCAGGACCACCCCTTTTGTAGCCGTGCTGTGCCGGCTCTGGAGGGCTTCATGGTGGTCTTGCATTCCAGTGCCATCTCGCGCCAGATGGTCAGCCTGGCGATTTCCGAACCGAGCTGGTTACGGATATCTTGGTGCAGGGGTTTGGTTCCGAGACAGGCGGGATTTTATTTTGCGCAGCGCCACCGTTGCATGAGCGTTGACCATGACCAGGGTCCAGATCTCAGAGAAAACCCAACCGAGACAAGTCCTGGTCAGGGCCGAATCTACACAAAGAAAATCTTGCTATCAGTCCAGATTTCCAGCGGCCCTGGGCCAGCGTGGGTTGCAGCTATGAGCAGAACACACAGCTCACCCACCCACACTTGACTGCACAGGGTGCTGGAGGGCGCCAACCATGCTACCGAACTCAAGACCCCCGCTCGAGACGGCAACCTCTGCCCAACCCCCCTCGCGGGTGAAGACGGGGAGGGCAGAGTCGAGGGACGAGCCATCCAAACAAACGTTTGCATCCAGGGTGCCGGATCGCGGCACGCGACCCATTCCCAAGCCTGCTGCACTCGAGGCTACGGCGTAAATTGAACATTCGAGACTGTCAGACCGCGAGTATAAAGAGGACGCCATTTAGGGGAAGAGGTCTCATGGACAGCACGTACCGTGCGATCAAATCCAAGCCGCTGCCTGAACGCGTGAAGCGCAAGGCAGCCATAGCAGCGGTGCTGCTTGGACCCCTACGGATGGTCACAGAGCTTACATTCCGACAAAGTCGAGTGCCTATCTAGATGCAGATCCGCCTGGGGAGGCATGTCCCCCCAGACACCGCAGCGTACAGCAGGGTAGCCCCGAGCTGCCTCCCCGAACTCCAAAACTCCTGGCAGACTTCCTCGACGGGATCGAGGAGAGGGAACAGTGACAAACATGGGGCATCACACTGCCGAGCACACCCGCGGTAGAGGCCAGCCCCGCCTCGGGGTTGCTCGGCCTTCCTGGGATGCTGGCTGAGCTTGTCTCGGGACGGCGAGCCGAAACGGCAACAAAAACGGCTCCGGGATTGGAGCTGGAGTCGGAACCGGCAAACACACGGCGATGGAGCCGGTGAGCCAACGGCGACGGAACCGGCAACAAACTAACGGCAAAACGGAGCCGGTGAAGAAACGGCTCTGTCGTTCCCAGGGCCCACGAAAGTCTCGACTCGATCCGATTCTCCGATTGGATGCTGGCTGATCTTGGTTTGGTTTGGGCCCGGGGGGGGGGGGGCATGGGGCCCGAAGGGGATATTTGTCCGCAGCTCTGCCTCCGGCATCCCGCCTCCGCCAGCGCTTTCGCCTCCGGGGCCTGGGCGGTTCAGAGCAGTGGTTTCACGTGGATCCCTTCACCTCTCAGGAAGGAAACGAACACACAGACACAATGAATCGTCGATTCCCGAGCTATAGGAAAATATCGGAAGTGTGGGGGAAGGCAAAAAACGAGAAAATATATGAACATATGGGGAATCCTGTTACTTGTGTCTATTTTTGTGTGTGTCCCAGGGCCCCTTCAGCCTCCACCTTCCGTGCTTTCCGAGCTCCGCGGAGGGTGCGGAAGGAGTCAGCGAAATGTATGGAAGCCTTCTACATAGATCAGATCGTAAGGAGGGCGGAGGGTTGGGTGATTAGGGAAACGAAGAATGACATAAACATAACAACTCCGAGGTCCGGGTGGAATGCTCGGATCCGCGCTGGGCCCCCTGGCGTTGCGCGCTCCGCGCGCCAGGGAGGGGGGTTCCAGCGCCGATCCGAGAAATCTGCGAGGATCTCCGAGTTTTTATGTTTATGTCATTGTTCGTTTCTCTATAAAAGGGACGGAAGGTCTGGAATAATGAGGGTGAGGGATCGGGGAGCCTGGGATCAAGGAGGAGCCGACCTCTCGCGCCTCCGCTGCGCTGCCTCTGGCACCTCACCTCCGCCCGCGCTCTGAGTTCGCCCAGGCCTGGACGGCTGCGCATCGCCGATGCCTCGTCGATGCGGCTCGACGTGGAGCCCGACTTTATCCATGCCGACGGCCCCGATGCATCGCCGACGTCGCCTGGGATCGCCAGGAGCCTAGTGGGTTTTCTCGGCCCGGCATCTGCCCCGTGTTCTGGGACCTCACTTCTGGGGGTCGGGGAAGCGCAAGGCTCGATGGATTTTGACGGTTCAGCTCTCGGGGGTTTGCAGCGGGGGCCCGCGCCCAATTTCAGCCAGGAGCCCTGAGCATGAATCTGGCGGGCCAGTTTGACCAGGGGCCGCCGCGTGTTTCTCTCTCTCTCTCTCTCTCGTGCTTCGGAAGGCCCGCTCGGGGCGTTCGCCCCCTCCCCCCTGTCTCTCTCTCTCTCTCTCTCTTTCTCTCTCTCCCTCTCTCGGGGGAGCGTAAGACCCGGGTTTGCCAGGACTCGGGTTCGCCATCGTTTTTTGACGACCGCGATTCGGATGTTGACGAGTAGGAGTTTCGTGGGATGTCTGCAGCGGGAGGCCTCGTCAAAATGCAGGCTCGGCCTCGTCATTTTTGTTGACGACCTCGTCGGGGATTTCCGAGTCCCTTGTACCCAGGTCTTACGTCCCCCTGACTCTCGTTCTCCCGCGGCCCACTGCTCGTCCCTCCCGCTGCGCCGTCTGGGTAGCCTCGAGTCGGGCGTGTCCCTCTGCAGGAGGAAAATTCAAACATAGTCATCCAAGAATAGTCTCGGGATCAATGTTTGACCATTGACATTGTTTTTTCTTGTGGCAAATCAGAATTCGTCCAAAGTTCACCTCTAGGAGGACATGTCCGACCTAAGGGTAGCCCCGTCCTCGTGCGAGGGTCGCCAGGGGGGAAGCGGGTCCCGAGGGGAACGGGTCCCGAGGTCGTTCGACGTCTGCGGGCTCTCGGGGCCCCCCGCGGGCCTCGGAGATGGCCGTCTTGGTGGCAGGTCCCCGGGGTCCAGGACCCGTGTCCTTTCAGGATCGGGGGTGGACAGAACCCCCAACAGTGACACGTCGATTAGTGAATTGTCCGTTTTCGGTTTTCGAGAGGGCGCCGTGGCCGTTATTTTCCAGGCTTGCGCCCGCCAGGTTTGGGCCCGAAGTCGTTTTCACTAAACCACCTTTTACTAAAGGGAGGTCTGTCCATCCCCGACAGAGGGGGGTGGGGAGAGGGGGGAGGGCCTCTTACAAGGGAGCTGCGTCTTAGAAGGCGCTTGCCTCGCCTGTGGGTGTAGGGCCGCCGCCTTCTGAGAAGCAACCTCCTTCTACGAAGCCTTTCCCCACTCCCCCCACCCCCCTGCGCGCGCCGCCGCCAACAAAGGATACCGTTGGATGACCCGCGGCCCGGAAGCATTCCAGACCTCCCGAGTGGGGTCCAGGCAGATGGGGTCGGAGGGTCGATGACAGCGTCGCTGCGGTTCGATGTGGTGCCCGACTCGAGGCATCGCCGACGTGTCGCCGACGTCGCCGATGCGTCTGCGCTGCACTGGCGATGCATCGGCGACGCAGCGCGATCCTCCGACCCCATATACTTCGACCTCATTTGGGTGGCCTCGACTCACTGAGTGGGGACTGGGGGTGGGGGCGCTGCTGCCATCCTCGACCCTTGACCTGCGATCAAAGGCCGCTCCTTGGACGCCGCAACCGACGGCAGTCCGCCCAGGTCGCTGTTTCACGTGGTTGGGCGGTGGCCGCGAGGGTCATCCGAGCAGCTTGGGCTGCTCGATCCATGGCCCTCCTGCTCGGACCTCGGTCCCTGATACAGTGGGGGCCCATGCCAAGCAACACCCTGCTCGACTCCAGGGTGCCCTGGGTTTCTTGGGTTTCGATGGTTTTGCGACGGAAGGCGTGACGTCCCCACACCAAGAGTCAATGGACGTCCTGGGGTCTCAGGGTTGGGTTTTTGTGGAAGGTTTCTTGTGGACGGGCCCCCCTTGTAGTGGGCCCGTGCAGCGACAGAGCAGGTTATTACCGTTTCTGTTCTGCAGTTTCTTGCGCAGTTGTTCCCCGGCTCCGTCCCATGTTTGTTCGGTTTCCGTTTCCAGATTTCGAAGAAGAGAAACGTTATAAACATAAATGTTCCACGCTCCGCGCGGATTTCTTTGATCGGCGCCTGGGTCCCCTTGGCGGCGCCTCCGGCAACGCCGCTGGCACGCTCCGCGCGCCGGGGAGGGGGGTCCGGCGCGGATCGGAGAAATCCGCGCAGACGTCAAAAGTTGATGTCTATGTTTTTTCCTTGTTTTTTTAAGATCCAATCCTTGAGCAGTTTTTCAAGTTTCTGGGTGGCGGCTTCATAACATCATGCTCCAGAGCCAGTGGTTCTGAACACGTTGCACGAATTGCCCTGCCGCTTCCGGGGCCCGCTGAGCTCGGTCGTCCTCGACCCTCGGACCTAGAGCTTCCTCAGTTTTCGGCCCTGATCGGTATAAACCTCGAGCTTCGAATCCTGCATCTGACGTCACGAACAAGAGTGCAGCATGCAATCACGAGCCCGAGCCCTGAACTCCTCCTTCCCGGTGCGTGCTCCGAGCGGGGTCGATCCGCGACGCACCTGGGGGCCGGGAAGATATAGGGCGACATCGCCCGGTGCGAGCATTTCAAGACGCCAGGTTTTCAGGACCCATCGATCTTAGGGGGCCCTTAAACCCCGAACCTCGATTCATTCAGAATCTGAATACGGTAGGTTCGCGTCGTGTCGACCGGCGGCGACCCCGCCAGCGGCGTTCAACTTTGAACGCCGCGGGCGACCCAGAATCGTTCGATGTTGAACATTTGGACGTTGCGGAGACGGCCGATCGTTCAAGGTTGAACGATCCCCGCGGTGTCAGAAACCAACGCCGGGGTCGGCACGACACGAACCTGCCGTAATACAACCCCAAGCCCCAACAACACTGAATTCGTGGCCTAACTTAGGTCCTCGGCTTTTACGGTAAATCCCCAAGCACATGGGCGGTGTCGTCCGTGACATCTGCAAGAAAGACCTTTGTTGTCTTTGATGTCCTTGGCCCTCCTCACTTGGACCCCATTCCAAAGGATCAGGGGTTCGTTTTTGTTGCTGATCATCGATCCCGCTGCTCCTCCGCCGCAATGCCAGCTCCGACAGTGGGTGGGTTTCGTGTGCAGACGAAGCCTCAGACCGCTCAGTTTCGCCAGCCTGCCGTGTTTTACCGTCCTTGAGACCACTGGCCACTCCATTCCATTCCTCCGCCGCGGTCGCAGCGCCCCCCCCCCCCCTCCCCGCGCGGCGGGGGTCCGACAGGCTCCGCCGCGCCGCCGGCCCTGTCGCCGCAGTACGCCAAGGCCAGCATGCAGCAGCCGCCGCAGCAGGTGATGGCCCCGCCGCGAGGCGCGCCTGCAGCGGCCGCGGGGACGGCGGCCGGCGAGGACGACGCCGAAGCCCCGGGCACCCGACGACGGCGACGACGGAGCCTCGGGCGCTGCGTCGCGGAGCAGTGGGCGAGGGCTGAGTAATACAGGTTTCAAGCTGAAAAAAACGGCATAAACATTCACGTTCTGGCGCTCCGCGCGGACTTCTTAGATCCGCGCGGGGCCCCCCCGGCGGCGCCTCCGGCGCCCCTGGCGCGCGGAGCGCGCCAGGGAGGGGGGCCCAGCGCAGATCCTAGAAATCCGCGCGGAGTTTTTGATGGTTATGTCATTCTTCGTTCCTCTAAATGGGCGGGGGCTGAATTCTACAGGAGTTGGTTTCACGGTCTGACGGTAACCAGGATTCTCGGGCTTGCCCCCCTTCCCCCAGGAGGACCTGACCGTTTTGTCGGTTTCGCAGGTCCTGTAGAGGCGGAGGGCAGTAGTTGTTCGCGCGGGCACACGTGGGGCTGCCCAACGCGGGAAGATTAGGTGACCGCCCAGCCTCCCTCATCGCAGAAGAAACGACAAATTGTTGAATCGCTTCGCTCATTCCGCCAGCCCACTTCGAACGGCAGGGCAGGCAGGATTGGGGCCGCGGAAAGGTCAGGTTATCGGCGAGCTCTCCATCGCAGAAAAATGACAATGATTGAATCGTTTATTTCATTCCGCCAGCCCACTTCGCATCACGGTGGTTGCGTGAAGGTGTGCTCGTGCCTTGGGGGAACGTTAGGGCAGGCAGAAGGTGTGTCTCGCACCCTGTCAAAAGAGAGCCCGCCGATTGCCCCAGAGGGGACCAGGATGGCTCAAGAGAGATCCAGCAGAGTTTCGATCAGAGTTTCGAGACGTGCTTGGGTTGTGGGTTAGAGTCCACATGGATGCTTCTGGGATCTCTTCGGAGGGCTTTCGGGAGCCTCTGAGGAGCAGTTTTGAATCCTCTGCGGAGTCTCTTGGGGGCTTCTTGAGTGCCTCTTGGGGCTTCCTGGGGGATTGTTGGGGGTTTTGGGAACTTCTTTGGGGGCCTCTTGCGGGCCCTTGGGGCCTCTTTGGGGACTCTAGGGAGCCTTTTGGGGGCTACCTGGGCACTTGTTTGGGCCGAGAGCTCGAAATGTCTGTTCGGGTTCCCTTTCTGGGCCCCGTCTTGGGGGGCCAACCTGCGGCCGTCTTGGAGGCCTCTTGGGCAGTCTTAGCGTCATCTTGGGCCATTTGTGGGCCCTCTTGGAGGCCAGCAGCTCGATAAGGCTGTACCGCAAAATCGCCCGAACACACACATGAACAAGTCTTGGAAATTTGCGTCTTCGTGGCCTCTCAGAGTCCTCTGGGAACCCTCCTGGAGCGTTTTAGGCGTTTCTTGGGCCGTCTTGGGACCAACGTGGGCCATCTTGGAACGCTCCTGGCCTGAGGCCGTGGGGCGTGCCACCCTATTAGCGCGTCATTGGGGCGCAATGGGGGTGCCCCGAGGCCGCGCACGGGAGTTCTGGCATCACTGACCCGACCTTGCCGGGACTTTGCTGGGACCTTGCCGGGACCGTACCGGGGCTTAGCTGGTATTTTGCCGGGGTGCTCTTTGCCCGGGGATCCCCAGCGCGCGCGATCTAGAAACATCATTGAACCGGAGATTTCACATGCCTCTGGCCCGTTGGGCTGGCGAATTTGGGTGATGCGGCGCGATCCCCCGACCCCATCCACGTACATTGATCCCATGGGAGGCCTCTAAAAATGGGGTGGGCGAAGAAAAGTACAGTGGGGGTGGTGGCCACGAGGGTTATCCGAGCCGCTCGGGCTGCTCGATCCATGACCCTCCTGCTCGGACCTCGGTCCCTGATACAGTGGGGGCCCATGCCAAGCAACACCCTGCTCGACTCCAGGATGCGCCAGGTCTCTTGGGTTTCGATGGTTATGTGGTGGAGAGCGCGTCGTTCCCACGTAAAGACTCCATGGACGTCCTGGGATCTCAGGGTTGGGTTTCTTGCGGAAGGTTTCTTGTTGCCTCTGAGGGCCCAAAAGGGGCACGAGAAGTGCACGCTTCTCCCCCCCCCATTGAGCAACGCCTAAAAGCCTCAGAGGAGGACGAGGCATCGATGCCTCTGCCCGTCCCGGAGAGCCCTCGTGGCCAAGGCTGCGTTCTCCTCGAGGGCCTGCTCATCAGAGCGCCTGCCCCGCGCCTCTGGCCGTGGCCCGCCCTGCGCGCGCTCCCAGGTCCCCTGGTCCCCGCCGCTGCGCCGCTGCTGCCTCCCGGCCCGCTCATGGTGGAATTCTTCCGCCTCTGAACGCATCCTCCTCCCCTTTCCGCCCGCGGCCCCTTTGTCCTCTTTCCGCTCTTGCACGCTGGACAATCAGCTCAGTCGTGCCCTCGCTTTGCTCTTTCGCTGGTGCGGGTGGCCTGTACCTCGCGTCCGACGAAAAAGAGTCATCAGAGCGCACCCCAGGAAATGTCCTCGGAGTAGCAGTAAAAATATGTACCTGTGGTGTATCCCCAGGCTGGACGACGACGCTGATGTTGACGACGAAGCTTGGCGACGACACTGACGACGAACGACGGACACGACGGATTGGCTTTTCCCCGTCCATCCATAGGTATGGTGTATTGTTCATGGTGTGGCGCCTCTGCCCCCACACTATCGCCTCCTCTTCCCTCGTTCCTCTTTTTCGCTCAGGCTCATGCTCAGACTCACTCACATTCAGGGCCGCTCACACTCAGGCTCACAAGACACACGCGCCCTTACGCATCACGCATACTCAGACCAATGTCCTTCATAGCCACTCACATTCAGAGCCGCTGAAATCTGATTATACCACTTGCACAGACCACAGACTTCGTCAGATCATTATGACTCAGTCTTGGTCGTACTGGATTTCATTCATACGCAAACGAAGCGCCAGCTCCAGATAATAATGTACCCCCCTTTTAACCACTCAGTGATTATTATCCACGGCCAATGAAGATTTGGTCGGAGAAGAGTGGCGGCACGGCCGAACTTGATAATTGCGTGGGGAAATTTCGAATCAGAGTTGATCTCTCCTTATGTTGTGTAGCATGAATTCCTAAATAACCCGATGGATGTCCCAACGGATCTTGTGTATGTCCTAAAGATCCCCATCGATTGCCGCACGAATCGTTTGGATGTTCGAAGGATGCCGTTGAAATGTGTAAAGGGATCTTGCGGATGCCCTGAGGCGTTTTATAATGTTTTATTTACCCAGGATCCAATGGATTTCCTCCGGGATCCCATGGATGTTCTAAGGGAGCCGATGAACATCCTCTCAAGGATTTTGTGGATATCCTGAATAATATTATAGATTTCATTCAGAAGCCGATGGATGTCCGAAGGGAACCTGAGGGTTTCCTGAACAATTCTATGGGTGTCCTAAATCACCCTATGGATTTCTGAAGGAACCCCGTGAGTTCCCCGAAGTATCCCATGGATCTCAAATGACCCCCCCGCAGTCCTGAAGATTCCGTAGGACATCGAAGGGATTCATTTGGACATCCATGGTATTCCTTCAGCAACCCATCGGATTCCATTGGACATCTAGAGGATTCGTAAGGAAGTCCATGAGGTACCTTGGAGAATCCATGAGATTTCTTAGGACATCCATAGGATTCCTTAGGACACCCAACGGATTTCTTAGGACGTCAATCGAATTCTTTGCGAGATCCATAGGCCCCCTTGGGACATCCGTAGGATTCCTTGGGGAATCCATTGGGTCCCTTAAGACATCAATCGGATTCTTTTCATTAGCTCTATGATAACTCTAAGGACATCCATGGGGCCCCTTGGGGCATGCATCGGAATCTTTGGGGGATCCTTATGATTCCTTGGGGCATCCATCGGTTTCCTCAGGACATCTATAGGCATCCTTATGACATCAATCGGAGTCCTTAGGACATCAATTCGATCCCTTGGGGAATCAAGTAATTTCCGCAGGCCACCCGGGGATCCCGTAGGAAGTCGATCAGAATTGTTCTCGGACATCCAATGGATTCCGTAGGACATCCATTGGACTCCCTTGGGAAATCCATTGGATTCTTTAGGACATCCATATGTGTTCCTCGGGAAATGTATAGGTATCCTTACGACATCCATATGATTCATAAATTGTTTGGGAATGCATCGGAAACCTTAGGATATCCATCGGATTCCTGTGAACATCCAGGCCAGCCCTTGGGACATCCTTAGGATTCCGTCCGCAATCCATAGGATGCCTTAGGCAATCGATCGGACTCCTTCGGGAATCCATTGGATTCTGTAGCAAGTCCATCGGAATCCTTAGGAAACCAATTTGAATCATAGGAACCCTTAGGACATCCATCAGGTTCCGTATGAAACCCATCGGATGCCTTTGGACACACACCAGCTTCCCCAGGAAACCCATGGGAACCCTGAGGACATCCATCGGATTATGTAGGAAACCTATTGGATTTCTTAGGGAAACGATGGGGCCTCTTAGAACATCAACAGAGATCCTTGGGGCATCAATATGAGTCCTTAGGAAATCCATCGGGTTCCCAAGGAAATCGATGGATTGTCTGAGGAAATACATGGGACCCCTAAGGATATCCATCGGACTGCTTCATTCTGGAATCAGCATGCAGAAATCGACGCGCGAACGCACACGTCGCAAACTTTGCATTGTCCACGTTTGAAAAGTTGCCGAGTTCGTTTGGAAAACTGAAGTGAACCCTTAACGCTGACCAATTAGATTTTGGAGTCAACATGTGTTTTCGACGTTTTCCCAACACCAACACGTCGGATGCCTTAAGAAGTATCATATGGATGTCTCAAGGATTCCTGTGCATTTCCGAGCAAATTATATTGATCGCCCACAGAATGCCATGGACCTCTTATGAAAGCCACAGGATGGCCTAAGGATTCCCATGGCTTTCCTCAGCAGTCTGATGGCTTTCCTCAGGAGTCCGATAAATTCCCTGAGGGACCCTATGGATGTCCCAAGGAACTCGATGGATGTCCCAAGGAGTTG